TCATTAATTCCAAACAAACAATCATATTACTAATAATTCTTATTACCTCTTTTGCATCACATAAAACAAATGTCACATTTCATAATAAGATCACACAAGTATTAATACACACACACACACACAATACTAAAAATCAGTATCTCAATATATGAAAGGATATTCTTATGTTACCTCTTTTCTAAGTTATAACTAACTCAGATGTGTAGAAAACTTCTTAACCATGATAATAGATTAATCTACTACATTGAATGATATAAATACCATTAGATATATATATATATATATATATATTGTAATTTATCAATTAGATATAAAATTCAACTAAACTTCTCAAATTTACAATCATCTCCTTCCAATCTAATTCCCTCCGGTAAAAACTCAAAATTAACTTAAATTAACTTATCTAAATCTCAAAAATATAATTTAATTCATATAGATATCCTATACATCAGAGATCACAAATTTTATAGCTAAAAACTTAATTTTAAACTCTCAAATCAATTTATAGAACAAATTTAAACTGATAAAATTTAAGTACTAATTTATCTCTACTAATTAATAGTTTCCGTTATTAAAAGTCAATACTTACTCTAAATTTAAACTTTAAAATTTTCTTTACTCATCAAAATTTTACTATTATTAAAAAGCTCTAGATGAGTAGGAAAATATTTATAAAAGAAGTTTTAGGAATAGAAATAGTTTTGAGCATAAAATTTTACCTCAAAATCCTTCAAGCCCTTATCCTTCACCTTTCCTTCTCCTTCTCTCTCTCTATCTCTCTCTCTCTCTTTCTCTTTCTCTCGTGTACAAATGAGCAAGGAAAAGCAAATTTGACAATTATATACTCCTTTCTTTCCACCACCTCTCTTATAATATTATTATTATAACATTTTTTTTATTTTGTTCTCCTTATACCACCGTCCCTCCTTCTCATTTGTTATTATTATTATTATATTATACCTTAACACTTAAGTTAACAAGCCTTAAACCCTCTTTTTTTTCTATTTTCTAAAAAAAAACACATCTTAACATAAAATTATATTCTATGTTAAACTAAAAATCTTCTAATTAATTTCTTTATCTTCAAACATTCTTTCTATTTTTTTATTAATTCTAATTAACTCTAAAAATTAAAGTAGAATGTTACACAACCAATGAGCTCCTTCAGCATGTGAAAAATTTGTTTGAGGAGAATAATAGAAGTGGAAGGCATGATGATGTGGAGGTTGATGCTATGTATGAATAAATGAAAAAGATGCAAAGGAGGTTGAAGAAGAACTTGAATGTAGTATTATCTTGTATGGTGTTGTCCTAGGTGTTTTTTTTTTTTGGTATGTATACGGGTGCATAAATTGTGTTCCTTGTCTTTAGTTTAGGCTTTAGTAAGAGTTCCTTTTGTAAGGCAAATCTATGGTTGTCATGCTACTAAATGATTAGTAATGAATCTTCATTTAGTATCCCCTTTCCTTCTTTTGATAGGCTTAGAGTGAGATTATGAGACAGAGCCTGATTGTTTGGTTTTATTACAATCTTAAGAATTCATAGTGTAATTTATTTGCAAAAGATGAATTCAAATAATAGAAGTTATAAGATAAAAAGATCAAGGATAGCTTGTTGCATTTAGATATAAAGAATAACCATTTAAGTGTAAAAATAAAGTATTTCCAACATATGAACAAAAATTAGACAAGAAAATATTGACACCAATAGTTTACATTGAAAGTTGATTCACAATAACTTCAACCAACAATTGGCAACAAATGTCTAAACCAAACCATAAGTGTCATACATGCACTTGTTAAACAAAAACATAAGGCTTGATTATACTAGGAGGTTTAGAGTATTGGCACCACACGGCCAAGCCAAAATATAAAAGGTATATAAGCCCAAACCTAAAGTCTTACATAATGTTCCCAAAAGTCATATTAGCCTACAATATTAAATTAAACTTATTCCATATAAGTACCAAATCAAATGCTTTCATGAGTAAAGCGCCTTCTCATCTGTCCAATCCTCTTTTCTCTCTAACTTAGAAGTTGTGAGGCTGTGATACTTGGTCCTCCTCTCTAATTCAAGCTTGTAGGATTACAAGATAAATTTAAAGGTCTTGAATCATTTCTGAATGCAATCTTCCTAGAGCCTTCCCCACATGTGCTATCTCTATGCATGTCTCTCTCATTGGGAATGAAAAATCTTGTCTTAAGATTTGCATGACTCGCATGATACTCTTAAGTAGTACCCTCTTTAAGGACAACCTCTGAGCTCATCCCAAGCTATAAATATGAACATCAAAACAGCATATATGCTCAGTATTCAAGCATTAAATATAGATTGTAAACTTGACAATGTTAAGTTCAAATGAAAAAAGTATTAACATACATTGTAAATAGTCCTCCTAGTATTCAAGTCTATTCTAATTCTCATACCACTTTCAACTCTACTCTTATGGAAAGCCTTCCCTCGGTGTAGTGTACACTTTAAGTAATTTAACTTTTAGGTTGAGATGACTGTGAACCATCAATTGAATTTGCTTTACCATTAGCCCTTTCTCTACCCCTATATCTTGTGTTGCTTGATAAAGGTTTTTGCACAAGATGAAATATCATTATCATAAATATTATAACACCAGGAAAATATTAGGTTGAGGATACTTACATCTTTACATGTGACACTATTATGGCCATGTTTTTTTTTTTTGCAGATATAGCATGAGATATGTCAACCTTTGTTGCTCAATTTCTCTATGACAGGTTGAGATGATTGTGAACTCCCTTCCTGTGTAGCCATATTACTAATGATTCTTCCTTCTTTGTTCTTCAATTCTTATCCTTTTTTCTTTAGTCAACCAAGCATCTTAGTAATGGGAGGTGGGTCCATTGGTTCAAATTTCTCAACCTTCCAAAATAGTTTTCCTCCTATTAGCTGTAACTTTGCCTTGTAACTATCAATGTAGGTTTTTTTGTGGTATAGTATTGAGAAATTTGAGTCATTAGGTCTATTTTGACATGATAAAACACACAAATGGCATATTGACAAAATATACCAATGAGATCTCAAATAATACAAATGCAATTCTTTGTATTCAAATAAACATTGTGCCTATCTAAACTCTCTGTGACCTCATATCCTTGATCACCATTAAAATAGATCATACATTTCACATCTGGATCTTTATTTGTGTCAAAAAAATTCAAACACCTAGGGATAAAATCCCCAATCCACTTCTCTACATTTTTTAGAATGACATCTAACATTCTAATGATAGGCAAGAGCCTAAAGTTATTTATCCATCCATTAAGACTTTCACTAAAATTATTGTTCACCATCCAAAATAAGTATCTCATGCTATAGTATGCTCTCACCCAATTCTTTGGAGGATATGACATTACTGCCTCTGCTACCCTTGAGATTTTCTTTAACTTGTTTTTTGAATGTGCTCTATGTGCAAACGAAAAATTTCTTCTTCAACTATTTACTTCTTCATTTCTTACTCCAATTGGCATAGATATGTCTAGCACACAATCTATGCTCCACTTATGGCAATGACAATTCATTTGATTTTTTCATGTCAATTACCTTAAGAACTAATGTGGAAACAACAATCAATGTTGATTTTGTAGACAATTGACGTGGATTATCTTTTAAAAGCTTCATATTTGTGACTGCTTTTTTCATTTATCTCTTCTTTCTCTCTCACTCTCTCATAACCATGCAAAGCATCTCTTTAGTTTATCACATTACTAGTCGTCGCCACCGCTCTGCCATTCGTTGCCATCCTCCATTTCTCTTTTGCCACTGCAAGTCCACTAGAAGTCTATCGTAAGTCCTCCTTTGTCTCATTTAGTGCTTTGGGTTTTGGGTTTCAATTTTTTAGGTAAATCTTCTTCCTTCTTTTCTTCCTCTTCCATTTTTGGTGATATCTTGCTTCAAAATTTTGAAATTTAGTAGCCGATTTCCTTCTCCATTGTGGTGGCATTTGAAGTTTTTGGGTCTTTCTTCCTTCTACATTGTTGGAGTTTCGGGTGTCTTTAAAGTTCCATTTCTTTCTCCATTTGATTCCAAGTTTTATATTTTTTTCTAATATTTCATTAATTTCTGAAATTTATAGTAAATGGGTAGTTGTAGATATAGAGATTTGCATTTGAAATTTTATTTTTTTTTCATTAAATTGTTAATAGTAGAAAAATTATATTTCCAATGCTGTGATTGGAGCTGATTTAATCTTGTTATGGTTTCATTTTGTAATTGTTAAAATTTTGAGATGTCATAATTTAAGGAGAAACTCTTACAATTTTTTCTTTAATTTTTTTTCAAACTAAAAAGTAAATATGATAATTGTCGAGCGAATTTTGCCATGGTTTCCATATTGTGATTGTTGGAATTTTGAGATCTCCTACTTTACAAATTGAGAAAGAATATACTTCAACTAAAGAGACTATTTTATTCCATAATTTAACTAGTCACAATTCTTAAATTTATATTGTGTTTCTTTTCTTTTTTTCTTTTTGAATTGTTGTGTGTTTATAAATTTAGTAAGATTTCTGAAAATTGCTTGAGATTTGAGTAGAATTGTTATTTGTTTAGAAATTGCTTAGGATTATACTACATAAATTTTTATAATGTTAGGGAATTTGATTTCAATTTCATTGTTGTTGGGGTTTGATGAATTGAACTTGGTTGATGTTGAAATTTTAGGAGAACCTATTTTAAGAGAAAATTTTGCCAAAATTTTTTCTAATCTTTACAAAGTTTGTATTTTAGTATTGTGATTCATTTGTTTAGATATTTTTAATTATTATTGGATATTTTTATTTGCTGTTGAGTTTATATTATTCCATTTTATAACAGTTGAAACTTTGAAAGGCTTATTTAAAAAAAAAAAAAACTCTGCTGACGAAACAAGTTCAAAATATCAGTTGTCCAAAGTCCTTCCTTAGTGCTTAGACTTTTTTTCTAAAAAAAGAAAAAGATAATAAAAGGTAATCGATCGCTAAGCCTCGTGTCCGCAAACCCAAGCCCACGTAGAAGTTCCTCTGTGATTATTTGTAATCTACGACTAAATACAAACCTATAGCACACATACCTATATAGTACATATTTGTAACTATATATTAAAGCGCATGAATTAATTCTTCATATTCAACCAAAAAAAAAACAAAAAAAAACCATGATCTTCGATCGGAGAAGACGAGTGTGGAGCTTGACCGTACGTCGTCAGTGCCTGCGGGGCGAGAAGAGTCGTTTTGGGGAGAACATGCTGACATGCCTTGGAGTTGCAAGACCAGCGATGGCGCGATACTGATCATGGACGATGAAACCCTCACGCTCCTCGCGCTCCCTCCTACGCGCTCCGAAGGTCCCATACTTCACCAACTTGCCCACCCACGACGTCTTCTTCTTCGACGGGCTCTGGTGTCCGGAGTTCATCTTCTGACACAAGTACTCCTTCACCGCATACACTCCCTGCTCCACTACCTCCGGCGGCGGCGACACCAGGGGGTTCCCTTCGACGCTCATCTTCGTCAGCTTCTTCAGGCAGCCGATGGAGTCCGGCAGCGACCTGATCTTGTTATAGCTCACGTCCAGCTCCACCAGGTTTAAGAGTAATCCTATGGAGTAAGGTAGGGATTCCAGGTACTGGAAGTTCTGGCTCACGTTGAGGGTCTCGAGGTTGACGAGGTTCTCGAGGTCCTCCGGCAGAGCTCGGAGGCAGTTGAGCCGGGCGTCCAGAACGCGCAACGCCGTGAGGTAGGAGGTGGAGCGAGGAAGGACGACGAGCTTGTTGGAGTTGACGGAGAGCTTCTTGAGGTTGATGAGCTCAAAGCCTATGGTGTCCGGAAGTACACTCAACTTGTTGAAGTTGGCGTTTAGTTCTTCCAAGGCTCTGATACGTAGTACGGTTGGTCAAAGGTTAGTGCCGATGTGTGCATATGTACGTTTGACAAATGACAAGGAATATAGCTTATAGCATGACAAAATATTTTGTTTTCGGACTAGTGGTTACAATTCAATTACGATTTTGACAACTAAACTTAATAACTTTTTTATGTATATTCTGATGTATGACAAGTAATTAATAGATTACGATAACAGATTTACAGAATCTTGTTTATTAAATTGCTACCAAAAAGATTAATTAATTAATATCGGTGTAGCTGTCACGTCTTTGACATATATTTTCAACTCTTAAGATGACAATAAAGTGGGCCAGAACGAATAGGGACACACACGGGATCTTAATGGAGAAATCAATCAACTACTTCTATGGATCGCCTCTTCTCCTCCAATTTTTTTTATAAATTATTTTTATCATCTTCATCACTATTAATATAAAAAATAAAAATATATAAAATTTTAAATATATTTCTGCATAATAAATTTAAAAAATAATATCATATTATATTTTTCTCTTATAAAAAATAATTTTAAAAATATTTTTAAATATTATTTAAAAAATCACACAATAACTTATAAATGTGATTAAATAATTTTTTCAAAATATATTTTATAAATAAAATCGAAGGGAGTACTTTATAGTATAGATTAATATTCTTGGGTGGAAAAATTATTTTCATTTTTTTGGAGGTTGTTCGGTACATAAAATAAAAAAGGATAGAGTAAAAAGACTACTGGAAATAATTTTTAAAAATAAAATAAAAATTAAAAAAAATGCTTTGACTAAATTTAAAGTAGGCATGATCATTTCATTTCCATGGGAATCTCATGAAAAAGAAAATAATCGTCTCTGACTATTATGCAGAAGTGCCTCGTGGTGCTGTGCATGTGGATGCGTTGAAGTTGAAGTTCCTTCTAAGATTAGTACTTCATAGTCAAACATTTTACATTTCAAAAGGATGTCCGTGAATTATTAGTACGAATTTTACGTAATGATCTGTAGGGCTAATTGACTTTTCATTTTCTCTGATTTATGGTTGTTTATATTAATGTAGAAAAATCCATGATTGCCACCACTTAATTAGAAAAAACGCAGCATTTTTGCACCCAAAATTCGCCACCCTGCCGCAACCTCTGCTTCTGAAAGCTCCAACTCAACGCATACGTGCGACGACGGCTAATCTTATATATTTAAGAACAACAGATTTTGAAGGAAGGTATATTTTTTTTCTCTAGTACTCTTAATATATAGTCTATTGGTAGCTAAATTAATTAATTGAGCCTGTGAATCTACTGTCTAGTCATGATGAAGGACTAAGGATATATAGATCCTACTGTTTGGCATGCGTTTTGATGGGACAGCCGAAACATAAAGAAAAAAGTGAACGATACTAATAATTAAGATATATAGCCACGTTTGAAGTAGGCTTCATCAACCAAATTCAACAATATTTCATCAAGTGTTTACTACTGTTTATCCCACATAATTGGTTTAATTTGTTGAATATTCCAACGTAAGCAGATTGAAGCGATGAGGAAAAACAGACAAAATCAATTTACCGTCAATACATATATAATACTAGTATAAAATTGACGAGCTATATCATATTAGAACAGCATGATTCATCACCTTGAATTAACTCCATGCAAATACATTAAAGAACATGTTTAGGTTTAGTTAAGTCGTTATATTAAACAACAGAATCTTCTTTTTTCCTTTTTTGCGGCAAAGGAGTTTGCCTTCACGCATCGTAATCTTATACGTCAGCTTTACAAGCATAAGCCTAAAAAAAGATGACACCTAAAAGATTAGTCTATTTTAAACATTACTTATTTTATGAGATCTTTTGACGTGGGACTCGTAAAGCTGGTTTCTGTGAAAATTGGCCTCACAAGACATTGGCCTCTTTCCAAAAAAAAAAAAAAACTATCATACTGGGAGAGGGTCGCAATTATAAATTAAAATTATTTTGTGAGGTTCCAGACATGTATGTGACTCAAACATAAACTTGTCCAGGTTCAATGTTCTTATAAATATTTTTTAAAAGAATGTCGTCTAACGACCCAGGGGGTGTTGGGTATATAAGTGATGCTTGTGGTGATATAAGAAACACGACTACAATGTTAATATAAGATTCGAAGTTTACGTGTATAATTTGAGCACCTGAATGTTGTGAGCTAATGGTATGATTGATGAGTAGAGGTCGTAATTTAGATTATGCTTGATGAGTTAGCCCAAATAAATTTAAAAATTTTTAGAGCTTGGCTTGAGAATTTAAAAGTTTTTTTCTTTAATTTTGAGCTTATTCAAACCTTCTAAATACCCCAATTCCCAAAATATGATAAAAATTGAAAATATTAATTTTTTAAGTTAAAAATTAAAATTAAATAAAAAATAAAATAATATTTAACAATTAAAGCATTTGGACCCGCCCAAATAAGCTTGAAAGTCCAAGGGTTTAAGGTCGGCTATATAAATCTTTTTTTATATTTAGATATTTTAAACTTGATCTAAAAAGTTTGATTCACGATTAAATTATCAACTCTAAAAACTAAGCTAGTTTCTTTTAGGCAGAGGAACTTCACTTACACACACGACATATGCTAAACATTTTGGAAGATGAATATATGCATTGGACTAATTAGAAGTATAATTAAGGAAATAAAACAGATGAGAAAAAAGAGAGGTGATGAGTTGGCTGTAGTTAATATTATAGTACCTGCAATTCTCAATGGTTTTGGGGAGATACTCGAGGAGGTTGCCGGAGACATTCAAAATCTTGAGCTTGGAGAGGCAACCGATGGAATTTGGGAGGGACTTAAGTTGATTGGAGTGCACATCTAACACCACTACGTTCAGCAGTCTCGCTGTTAGTGACTCCGGAATTTCCTGTCAAACAAACAATAAGTTCTTTATTTCATTAATTATCATCAAGGGAAATCAAAGTTTAGTCATCATATCACAATAAAATTAAATAATATGGTATCTGTGGTTTTAATCTGCAGGCTTTCAGTTTTCTTTTGTTCATAAATGATTTGGGGTGTGTGAATGGTACTGCTATTATATATGATATGAAACGAGCATATCAGAGTAATTAATTAGTCGCCAAACGTTAAAAGTTTTTTGTTTGACCAGCCGAAACTCACGATTCTGCAAAACTTTACTAAATTTTTTATGTATATAACATAATTTAATTTCCTCTGGAAGTTAATCTTGTTTTTCTCCCTTAAAAATTATTCCTGTTTGGCGAAGAAAAAGATATACGTGAACCCAACAAAACTGTCCGGCTTTCAAAATTTCCCTTTATGTGATGTTGCCGACGCACTGTATATGTACATGTTGATGAATGATCAATCCTGTGGCACAGAAAAAGTTAAGCTAGACCAAGGCATCTGATATTTCTTATGAAAACTATTTAGCAGGCATTCCTATTAAGACTTCCAACAATAGATTTTAACTTTCCTGCAGGTTTCGATCACTCGCGGACTGATAAATGCATAAACAGAAACAAAAGACTACATGTATGTATATAGATGACCCTGATATTGGAGGAACATGCATGTGCCTAGCAAATAGGCTATACAAGCGAAAGGTAAAAGAACATGTGAAAGAAGAAGAAGGTACCTGGAGGTTGTTATTAGAGAGGTCCAACTTGCAGATGAGAGCTAAATTAAGAGAAGGGCTGGGGAGAGAGTCGAGGGACATGCCACTGAGGTCGACTAGTTGGAGCTTTTCTTCTTCCTCCTCCTGATGATCTGAATGGGCTTTCTGCCTTTGATGATGATGATCATAAGTGTTTATCTTCCTCAGCTGCTGCTGCTGCTGATGATGATTATGGTGTGGGGGGTGAATAAGAGTACGCTGGTTTTCGTACATCATCTTGATAAATTAAACTATCCAAGCAGTAATTGAGAGGCAGAGAGAAGAGGGAAGGGTTGAGAGAGAGAGAGAGAGAGAGAGAGAGAGAGGAAGGATATGGAGGAAGTGGAAGAAGAAGAAGAGAGGGTTGCTTTAAATAGAAAAGAAGGGAGAGAAATGAGAGGACGTACGGAAGAAATGAAGGAACGGGACATAAGGGGTGACGTTAAACACAGCAGAGCACAAGAAACCGTATTCTCCGGTTTGGGCTTCCGTGCTCTCCTCACCCACTTGATCAAGTCAATCCCCCTGTTTTTCTGCTACCCCCCTCCCCCATATTCTCTCACCAATTTTTTTCAAACTTTTATAATTTATCAACTTTATTTTGAAAACAAGAAGAAGAATTATTTTTATATATAATATTTATTTGACAAAATGACATTTGGCTCCTTTCTATTTTCTAAGAACATTAATGAACTGTAAATTTATAAAATTGCAAAAAAAATCTTGGTCTTTAGTTGGAATTAAAATTTTTTTGATTGAATTTTAAAAGAATTAAAAAAACGTCTCAAAAAAATTAATTAATTTAAATTAAGTTTTATGTATCAAATTTTAAAAATTTATAACTCAATTTTTTAAATTTATGATTCTATTGTGATGAATTTATAATTTATTTTTAAAATTTTAATATGGTTGAAAAATAAAAAATTATTTTTTTATTAAAATTTGAAATATAAGTTACAAATTTATCATAACAGAGTGATAAAATTAAGAGATTGAATTGTAAATTCATGAAATTTAACACTTGAGACTTAATTTAAATTAATTGATTCTTTTGGGACCTCTCTATCATTTTCTCTTAAATTTTTTCAAGATCCATCTTTCATATTTTCATTTTCAATAGTTATCTTTAGCATTTTCAATTCTTTAATTTTGATTTTTTTCCCTAATAGTCATTGTATGAGAAAGTTTTAGGTAGATTGAGTGCAGACCACAACATTTGTAACCTATCTAATTAAAATACTTTAAGTAGTCTAAATAAAATCTTATGTGACATTCTTTCAATTGATTTTATTTTTATAATAGAATGTAAATTTGATTTCTTGCCTTTTTTTTTCCCTCTATCATCATCAATGTCAAAGTCAATTTATATATAATACCATTTAATTATTATGTTTTTATTTGACAAACTACAAATAATGTAGTGCATATGATCTATCCATTGAAAAGAATTAAAGATATATATAGTTGTTTTCCAATACAAACATATGAAATATAAATATTGAAAACATTTAAGTTAACTAGGAAAATTTAAAAAAATGAGTACTAAAAATGTTAAAAATCAAGCCTTTAGGGTTGCAGAATAATATCAAAATTTATTAGGCCTTATTTGCAAATATATTGCTTCCCAGGGCCCTAGATGTGACTCTCCCAGATATAAGTTTTGTTCCTTAAATTTTTTAAAATTATAGATTCTACAATCTTTATTTTTGGATTCAAAATATTTGAATTTTATAGTTTTTTAACTTAGAACAACTTATCAATGAGGAATCTAGGAAAACATACATAGAGGCAAAATTGTAAACTAAAAAAGAAGGGAGTAAAACTAATTTTCACATTTATATATAATATTAAAAAAATGTTAGCAGGCAATAGTGAAATTGAGGGATCCCCTCCCCTTGCATGCATTCATCTCTTGAAAGCCTGATCTTTATAGTTTTTACACTTAATACAATTTAATCTCTATAATCTTTTAACCTGAAAAATCACAAGGCCTTGTGTTGAGATAATGTTTAAAGATTAAAATAGAATTTAAAAGCTAAAAATTCTATCATGCATCAATTATTTATCAACGTTATACTGAAAAAGAAGAAGAAGAATTTTTATACTCTCTCCATTTAAAAATATAAAATATTTTTAATCGAATCTTACCCTTTAATAAAGTAATTACTTACTTTTCAACTAACCCTATCTTTTCATATTTATTCTTATTAAACATCATTCAATAAACATAAAATCATTATCAATAGGAGTACTTTTAAAAAAAATAATAATTGTACCTCAAAAAATTAAAAATATCTTATAGTTTTTAACATCCAACTCTTTAAAAAGTGTCTTATATCTTTAAACGGTAGGAGTATATAATATTTATATTTGCATATGTATCAATCAATTGACTTTAACTTATCTTTATTATTAATATTATATATACGACCCGATATCGTTCAATCAATATATCATCAATATGTGGGTGAGCTTATTTCTGCATTTTCACAGAAAATATATAGAACACTTGGAATTCTTATAGATAAGAATGAAGACCTTGTTTCATCGCAAAGCATCGTTTTCTGCTCTGCTAAGATCTCAAAATTTCGTATATTTCGTCTGTGTCGACTTATTATTTGTATCTTTTGGTTATGTATCATTTTGTTTTTGTCTTGTCTGTTTGCTTTAGATTCTAAGTAATCGACTAGTACTTTTATATGTCCTTGATAATATTCATGTTATATATATATATATATATATATATATATCCAACATATCATTAATTAGTGTTTATAATAAAGGATATAGCGGGATATAAATTAAACAATACAATTCATTTATCAGGTTTGTTGCAATACACGGTACAGAAATTACTATAACAATGAAAAATAAATCATGTAAATTTCATTTGAACCTTTTAAATACACTGACATGCCGCCACCCCCCCCCCCAAAAAAAAGGTTTACATAAAGCTCCCTTGGAAAATAAATCATACAAACTCATTTGAGGTTCCTTGAAATTATAAAGATATTCTTTCTATTGTTAAACGATACACAATTTTCTCTTGAAAATGCAAGGAATGTCTATTAGCTTTTAGATATTCTTTCTATTGTTAAATGATACATAAATTTCTCTTGAAAATGCAAGGAATGTCTATTAGCTTTTAAACAAAACTCGATAGAAGTATGTGTAGTTTTATTTGTAAAATTTTAGGAGAAGTGTATATTACTTATCTACCTTTATATATTTTTGGTAATAAAATATCTATATACATTTGGTAATTTTACTTAATTATATCTATATGATATAAATCAAATTACAAAAAGATACGCATTTAATCATAAATACAACTACTTATTTTTGTGTTCTGTGTAGCATACAAATCCACACCTTAATTATATGTATGTATATATTGATATACACATAGGTGTATTTCTTTATCCAAATTAATTGAAAGCTCCTTTGGGTGCCGCGAATATTGGGCACGTGTATTCCTGCTTGTTAATTGGACGAGAATTTAGATAATTTTCTTTTCATAACAATACCAGATGAACGAGGATTAAGGATTTTTTTAATTGTTATTATTTAAATATAAATTTCAATATCAACATGTAATTTTTTTTAAAATATTGTGTGAATATGACATGATATTATTCATGAAGCAAAGATTAATTTTAGCCCAAGTTCGGTGGCGTAAGCATTACACTAATGATTGACAAAGTATGTATGTTCGTTTTGATCATAGCTGGCTAGAAACGTTGCTATTACTTGTTCAACACATCTTCTATTTTTAATTAAATTGTCATGAATATATAAATGATAGAAAAAATTACATATAAATTTCATGAAGTAAATTTATTCACAAATAAATCCTGTAAAATTTAAAAATCACAATCAATTCTCTTGAAATCTAAGAGCAATTTGAAATTAAGCTACAAAGAGAATAAAACCTCTATAAAATACGCATTCAATTAATTAAATAATTAATTTATAATTACTTCATCAGTAATTTATAATTATAATTTTAACTTTTTATAACTGTAATTTCACACATTCAATAGTTAATTAATCATGTATTTCTAACAAAATTAAATATTAATTATTTATAATTACTTTATCAGTAATTTATAATTATAGTTTTAACTTTTTACAATTATAATTTCATATATTCAATAATTAAATATTAATTTTGAATATATGAAATTATAATTGTAAAAAGTTAAAATTATAGTTAAAAAATACTAATAAAATAATGATAAATTATTTGACTGATGTGATATATATATTTAATAGGGTTATTTTTATCCTTTTATCATAATTTTAAATTACATTCAAATATTAAAGAATTTAATCATAATTTTTAAATTTTTAAAAAAATTATTTATAAATAAATCAATTTCACAAAATTTATATGTAATTTTTTTTAAATTATACATGCAAACATATGTGTGGTTGCGCGAAGGCGCACAAATATATTATATAATTTTGATCAAATTTTTAATAATAAAAATATAAAAATACTTTCCCTTCAATTTATTTATATTAGACGTAATATCATGCAATTCACTGTATGATTGGACTTATTCATATCCTCCTTTATTATATGATAAAAAAAAAATGTCAAAGTCAATACAAGTGTTCATGCCTAATGAGATAAGATTTAATAGTTTCAAGGCCAACTGGCATGGCATTCAATAGTTGGTACCCGCAGTACGTAATAGTGTACGAATGGTCAATGGTCTATCCTGCAACTATTGTTTCATCGGCTGGTCATTTCATTAAGATATTTAGTGGCATATTAATTAAAATATTACACATGTTGTGTTATTTTTAATACGATGAGAATTTATAATTAATGGTACCTAATGGGGATTAGATTGGATATAGTTTATCTGGCCAACGGGCGGTGGCATAAGATTAACAGTTATTTCATATATTGTACGAATGGTCTACCATGAAGAGTGCTATGATTTCACATCATCACGGGTTTGTCACAAAACTTACATCGATGCATGATATAAAATTGACATATGATATAAAAATATGTCTTAAATAATAATATAATATTTATTTGACATTTTATAAAATGAATGAAAAATTGTATTTAGTTAATATATATAACACGTTAATTACATTGTTATTCCCTATATAATTTTATCATTTTTAACTCTATATATATTATTACTCCTATCAGCATATGTATTTAGGAGAATGATAAAGAGGTCTCAAAAAGATCAATTAATTTAAGGTAGGTTTTAAATGCCAAATTTTAAAAATTTGTAACTTAATCTCTTAATTTTGTAACTGTGTTATAATGAATTTATAATTTATTTTTTAAATTTTAATATAGTTAAAAAATAAAAAAATTATTTTTTCTATTAAAATTTATAATACAAGTTATAAATTTATCACAATAAAATTATAAAATTGAGAGATTGAATTGTAAATTTTTAAAATTTAATATTTAACTTAAATTAATTAATTCTTTTATGACCTTTTTATCATTCTCACTATATATTTTTCTATTAAAGATATGATAATGTATTAAATGCGAGCACATTTTCTAGTAAAATTTAAATTTTAGTTGGCTATATTGTGAGCGAGACTCTAGCATAACTAGATTTTTTTCAAATTGCATAAAATTTAAAATAAATTTATTATTATTGATGTGTTAAAAACATATTAATAGTAATCATTTTGTGTACCATGTAATCCGTGATATACAGCTGGGGCATGATGATACATAATTAAGATGACCCCATAATATATATACATATATATATATAGAGTTGCGGCAGTTGAAACTTACAATAATGATTATAGCATGACATGTTCTAGTATTGCATACAACGTCTCGAAATTTATGTGCATATCTTTATATTCATACATAATACAAAACTTTTAATTACATAGACTCATAAGTCACAATCAATACAATATTCACTTATCAACATATATACAGGTCGTTGTTTGGAATTTGTCGATCAAACAAATATAGTTAAAAAAAACCTCGTAACGGCCAGCACATGAAACAAATCTAATTTATTCTAATTTCTAATTCAAATAAGCAGAGATTTTAGGTATAATAATGGGGTCTAGCAGCACATGGAAGGCAAAATGGAATTTCGTTAAAGAAGGAGGCCTGACAGTTAGAGATCTCTCTTGACGGTGAAGCACATGGAATTTGATTAATGCAGCCTAAGTAATGTCAGCCCAAAATCAATTAGGGACCTTTAAATTTTTTTTTTTAAGTACCAAATTATCTAAAGAAGCCAAGCCTATCGATCGACATCATGTTTGTTGAGGTAGCCTTACAGTAGTTACAGATGTCGTTGTTTCATATTGAATATCTGATAAATAAAACGAAGGTCGTTGAGAAGAATCTATTGTCATTTATCTTCTCTGTACGTATATGATCTCAAGAAAGACTAGTCTTATAGTCTCAACTCGAAACCTATTGAAAGGACTTTGACTTCAATCAGGTATTAGCTCACCACCACCACCACCACCAGGATTCATAGTTGGGTTGCAAAGCTCTCTCTCTCTCTCTGAACCCTTCCAAACTGACGAAAATCATAATAAATGCATATTAAAAGATCATACAGAGCGTAATTCAAGCAATTCAGCTTTTCAAGGGATTATGCAGCCTGAGCATTGAAAAGCCATGAATTTCGAACTCCATAACACAACTTGAGCTTAAAAAGACCAAATTAAATAAAAGCAAAGATTTGATAGAAGAAGGAATACTATTAGTCATTGCCTTCTCTACAAAACCTGCAAACTTCTCTCATTTAAATACATAAAAATTTATAAAATTGAGTTTGATTTAAATCTAAATTCATTTCTTATTATTACAACTCCTTTATAATTTTAGACGAAAGAATACTCTAATTATTTAAAATTTTAATCACCTTAAATATTTCATTATTTTCAATTTTTACAATTGATCTCGATGACTCTTCTATATTTTCTTATCTCTTGTCATCTAAAAAATAAAAATAAATTCATCATTTTTAATATTTTATTTTCATTTTAATTCTTAACTCATCTCTTTGCTTTATTTAAAATTTTTTTAAACTATTCAAACAAAATATTTTAAATGATGAATTTTAAATATAAGATTTGAAATGTAAGATTTTAAATATAAAATTACAATCCAAATACGTCAATCCAAATGTTACCTAAGAGTATTTTTGGTAACGCGCGTTATAATTATTACATTGTGATTTGAAATTAGCATTATATTTAGAACTAATTAATAAGATGTGATATTAATTAATTAAACTCGACAAGAGCATGTTATTTCAGTTCTTTTTATGTATAATTACTAATATTCCACTGCTATTAGTTATGAAATATCAATCAAATTCAAAGGTTTCATTACAAAGATTAGCTTATGAAATCAAATTTTGTGTACGGGCATTTAGTTTAATTGATATATCGATAAGCAACATTTCTGGGTCTAATTTCTCAAAAAAAAAAGAAAAAGAAAATTATGAAATACGAAAACAATTACAACAAATAAAAGCAAATCTAGTCAAAGATCAATTTATTCCTATCTATGAATCCTATCACACTTATCTCATCGACTATGACAAATAATTTTCTTCATGTACTTCTTTACATTCTACTTATTGAATAGATCGTTGAATCAATTTATATAAGAATTACGATTTCATATTTTAAAATATATAATTACATTAAATAAAAATATTAAAGGCATTGTTGAGATACAGGCAGTGAAATACAAAAATAAAAAATAACATAAATTTTGTTATAGATATAAAACTTTCCTTTTTTGTTGAACAGTTAACTTTCAAAAAATGAAATTTTAGAAAGTGAACGTACATTTTGGTCAATTTGAGGTCACCAATAAAACCCTTTTATTGGGAAGGAATTATATATTTTAAAAGCACAGTTAAGTTTCAAAAACTTAAACGAATGACTATTAGGTTCTTAATAATCTTTTTTAAAAAATAAATTTTAAATATTGAGATTTTAATTATAATTTAAATTAAAAGTTATATTTGATATCTTATCTGTCGAAACTTTAAATTTTACAATAATTTAAATTAATTTTTTCAACATATTTAATTTTTTTTCAAAAAAAATTTGTTGAAATTTAGATGTCATTAATTAAATTTTGTAAAATTTTATTAAAAAAAATCTTAATTTGAAGTGTTAAATGTAATTTTAACGAACCTTTGGCCAACTACAATTGTCGTTTTATGGCGCCAGATGTTATATCGATTATCGAGGCATCGAGCACAGTAGCTGACCAGTGGGCACCATTCTCTGGGACTCCCGCCTGCCAATCATACTTCGATGACCGTGACGATGCTATTCAATTCATGTGTTCCTCGCCAAATTTTGTTACAGAATGTTCCAAACAAAGCTCGGTCTTTGAATCGAATCTTCCTCTCTTGCTCTCTTCGAAATCCGACTCTCGTTTCTTCTTCGGAGGTGGCACTTCATGCTCAGAGACTTGTGTACCAGTTCAATCCCAAGATTCCCCTAGAAAAAGCTATTACCCCTCCGACCTCATGGTACACCGATCCATCTTTCCTCGAACTTGAGCTCGATCGCGTCTTCTATAGTGGCTGGCAAGCAGTAGGTCAGTGGTTACTTCTTTTGAATCAATATTCATTTTGGAGGCATTTTTTTGTTGATGGGAGTGATCGTTTCCTCTAAAATCGAGGAAAACAAATTCGAAAGATGAAGTTGTAGAGTAATAATCTGCGAGAACTATTAATTTTGGGCAAGCTATCTTTGTTGTATGAATTTCACTTGAATGACCGAAATATTGGTTACAATATGTATGTGTGTATTTAAATTGGCATCGTCTATATTCCTTTACTGGTTCATAATATTTAATTTCAATTTTAGTTTCGCTAATTTTCAACGAAATAAGGACACGATTCAAAAAGTTTAACTTATCTTTGCCCCTTTTTCGTACTTATTTCAGCCGTCAGGACCTTATTGCTTTTAGAAAATGGGACTATGCACCGGGGTTAAGGTCCGTCTCTGAGGGTACGTCCTCCATGTATGGGATCAAAGTTGTGAAAAAATAAGGCTTTTACTTTAAAGCGTTTAGAGTTACTTGCGAAATTGAATAAGTAGAGATTCATATATGGGTACAAGCATTAAAAGGGTAAACTTAGGTTCTGTTCTCATAAAAGTGATTAAGTTCCACTCAAGCACTAAAGAAGTTCATTGAAGCAAGATATATACATATTTAAATTATGGACTTGATTAGTAAGTAATGGGCTTCATATACGGAACTCTGCTTTTTTTATACTAAATTTTTTCCATGTTTTGAAGCATAAAAGTCTGCCATGGTATGGATTCTGTCTCCATGAGTTATTTTTTTGAACGTTGTTTCAACCAAGTATGATCAGCTTCCACTGTTTCTTTCTTTCATCAGGGTCCACAGAGCAGATAAAGGCTCCCTATGACTTTTTCACTGGCAGGTTTTAAATTTAAAACTTACATTCCATCTTTTTTCACCTTTAATAAAGGGGATCAACTCCAATTACTTTCTTATATTGTCAGTAAAATAGTATGGTAGATCATAACGGTGTCATACAATCCATGTAGCCGACCCCACCTAGTGAGATTAGGTTTATTGTTGTTGTATTGTTAGTAAAATAGTGCTAATGTCAGCTCCATTTGGTTCTTGGAAGGGGAAAAGGATTTTTGGGAGTGACTTTCCTTTCCTCCCCAAGTTTCTGAGAACCAATTGGAGAACTAATTTTGCAGACTTGGACGTGTTGAATTTGTTGTGTGTCGAGATGAGAATGGGAAAGTTCATGCCTTTCACAATGTCTGCCGTCATCATGCCTCTCTTCTTGCATCTGGTAGCGGACATAAATCTTGCTTTGTTTGCCCTTACCATGTGAGTTTACCTACTCTGGTTAATGTGTAGGCGCAATATATATATATATATATATATATAATGCTTTCATGTATTCCTTGAGGTTCAAAGTGAAAAACTTTTAAGCTTATTCCTATTGGATGGTAGTTGTTATAATGGTTGCTTCTTCATCATGAAAGGTTCCTATTTTTTGCTCTATTATTTGCAGCTTAAAATAGGAAAAGAATATGATCTCTGCAGGGGTGGACATATGGATTGAATGGATCTCTTCTCAAGGCAACTAGAATAGCAGGAGTGCAGGATTTCAATGAAAATGTATGAAGTTCTGTTCTATGACTGGTTTCTTGTAAAACAAAATTCTGATAGAGGGAGAGTTTGGCTGATTTTTGTAAAAATGGAGGATAGGACTTTGGGCTTATTCCAATCAAAGTAGCTGTTTGGGGCCCATTTGTACTTCTCAATCTGAACAAAGAGGGCTTTCCTCAAACGGAAGTTGATGGCCATTGTGTAGGAAGGGAGTGGCTTGGTAGAAGTGCAGATATATTGAGCACCAATGGAATTGATTCTTCGCTCAGTTATCTCTGCAGACGTGAGTATACCATTGAATGCAATTGGAAGGTAGACCTCTTGTCTTGCAATGAATTTTGGCTCTTCCTTGGGGGTGTTGTTCATTATTCTGTCATTTGAGTATATTCCATTTCTTAATTGTAATGTGATAAAGAATTTCACCAATTTCAGAGACTGTACCCATGACCTTCTAGTAAGCGTAATTCAGATCACAAGCAGATTTATCCTACAAGTGGAAAACCATGGAATTTGTTCTTTAGAAACTTGATCTTATTCCTATATGTATGACGTGATTCATTGGAAATGCTAGGACGCTTGTAATTTTGGGTATTTCTATTTGCAGGTATTTTGCGATAACTACTTAGATGGTGGCTATCATGTGCCATATGCGCATAAAGGCCTTGCTTCTGGTCTAGAGCTTGATTCCTATTCCATCACAGTATTCTCTTTCCTCTCATTTGCAAAGCTCTTCATTTCTACTAGTCACAGTAGCATGACAATTTGTGTGTGAATCTTTTCTGTGTCGGGCATGTTTGACAAGAGTTATAACAGGAGGAGTTGGAAGAGAGTGATGGTAGATTAATGATGTTTCTAGGCATAATGCATTGTCTTCAGGTAAAAATAAATGAATAAAATAAAAAGACTCAAAGAAATGTCTGATATATTTACTTTTCTCATTCCACTCCTCCAGATTTTTATCTACCTAGTTCAATCCTTGTGTCCCGACTATAAATAATCAAAATTGTACAATTCACAACTTGTATCATTCTTGGAAACCTTCCTCTCCCGGGGAAAAAAAATCACAGAAGGAAGACCCGCCCCCAACAAAAAAAATCATTTTCACACATTAATCAATGCAAAATAAAGTATTAGCATAAAATACTCCTGATATTGGGTTTTCAATGTTCCTTGTAACCAAGGGTTGTTTGGGTACTAAGGACTGTATTTAATGATGTAGATGTTTGAAAGGGTTAGCATTCAAAGTTGTGAAAGCAGCTCAGTGAAAAGGAAAGAGAGCTATGACCGACTTGGAAAAAATGCTATATATGCTTTTGTTTATCCTAACTTCATGATAAATAGGTACTTGCTTGTCTGTTTTGGGTAATTATGTTGCAATATAGTATACTTTCTTAATTTCTGAGGCTTTCCAAATTGTAGATATGGACCCTGGATGGATACCAATCTTGTACTTCCGCTAGGACATAACAAATGTCAAGTAGTTTTTGATTACTATCTTGAACACTGTCTAAAGGTAATTTGTGTTATGCTTGCACCTACAAGTCATTCCTTTTAAGTGTAAATTATAATACATACGTAAATTTTTAACTGCATTTAGAACCTTGAAATCACTTAGTGTTGACTTATTTCTTCTCTCACTCATGGGAGATAGAAGAAATTTGTAACAACTTGATTGGTGGACCCCTTGTATCACAAGGAGCTCGAGTAAAAAGTTGCATTGTTTATAAATTGTGAATGATGTAGCTTGTTGTAGGTTATATATATAAATACTAAGAAATGATGTGTTTCTTTGTGTTGATTTCCTTTTTTAATATTGTTTTTGTATCAAAACATGTTTTATTGACAACTGAAGCGAAATAGATTTTTTTTATTTCTTCATTTATTTTTTGAGCTGTGGGAGCGGTAGTAGATGGGAGGGAAACTGAAGAGATTTAGCGATTTGATGCTCTGATTCTTATTATTCATGGTAGCAGGTTGTAATACATCAAAGGAAAGAATTCAAAAATCCTGTCACCGTATTCAGAACAGTTAACTAATAACCTTTTAATATTATAATTTATTAGGTACTGAAAAGAGTAAGTAGGATAGGATGCCACCTAAATAGAAACAAACTACATGATTAAAATAATAACTAATTTATAGAAACACTCCTCATTAAGCTGGGGAATCATACCAAACTTGGAGCTATTCGTGCCAATCTTCCTCCTCTAGATGTGGTTGTGATAGAATACAGAGAAGTATTGAGAGACGTGGCTGAAGTGGAAGGCTTAAGGGGGTGAGTTAGGGGGATATTATGATAGAATACAAGGAGAATGGAGAGAGAACGTTAGGGTTTTTTTGGGGATACATCTTTGAGCCTAATCGTGGTAGAGCATAGCTGATTTCTGGTTTCCCTTTTTGGACTGCTGTAGATTTGTAGTTCTCTAAGATTGGAGCTTCTGTTTTAGTGGCAAATCAGAGGCACGGTTGATCCCCATTCTCTATTTTCTCCTGTTCCTACTGCTTGCTGCACCCTAGAGTTTGGGGTCTATCATTATTCTTTTTGGCTATGATAATGAACCTCATACTGATAATTTTGTGCTCGGTGCACATGGATAAAAATTCCCAGAAACATAGGCATTAGGTGATGGAGCTTTTATGGCAGGGCTGCTGAGTGTTTGTTGTGATGAATTCATGAAATGTTGAGAATGTCCATAAAAATAAGATTCAAAGATTGAAGCTGAATTTAAGCAAGGAGCTCAGAGATTGTCTCGAATATGTAAATGACTCTCAGAAAATTCCAGGACTTCTGATTTTGCTGCATGAATGAATTGTACAAGTTAATCTATGAATTGCAACATTTTTTCTAACATATTGTTTTGTTAGAGATTTAAGCTGAATTACAATGAATTTCCCATTTTAGTGCTCCCATAGTTCCTCTAAACAAGTTAATCAATGAATTGCAACATTTTGTTTTGTTTTTTTTTTAAAAAAACCCTATTATCAGTCTAAAAACTAAAACTTGCAGTGAAATTTAAAAAAATAGACTCTTACTTTCTTCCCCTCTCTACCTGATCAGGATGACACGGATTTCATAGATAGAAGTTTACAGGATAGCGAGAAAGTACAGGTAATACATGCTAGTTCGGTTGACAAGATATTTCCGAGGTATAATCATCATTTATCACTGGTCCATGTTTGGTTGTTGTTTACATGCAGATTGAAGATATTGTGCTGTGTGAAAGTGTCCAGAAGGGCCTTGAGTCTCCTGCGTATTCAGTAGGCAGATATGCACCAACCGTTGAGCAGGCCATGCACCATTTTCACTGTCTGCTTTACGAAAATCTCGCACATTAAAAATCTTGGGACATCACAGAATATTGCCGTGGTTTGATGCAAATTTGCTTCGAGATCAATAAGTTTTCTGTCACATGATGTTAATGTTATGATGTGAAGTGCTTGTCCACATGATATAGTTGTGTTGAATTTTCTTTCTCATGATATAGTTATAGCATATTTGTTACAAGGAACAGTGTTTTCTAGAAAGAAAATGAAAGATGTATCTAGAAAGTAAATGAAATAGGTGCATTTCTTATTTCTTTATAGGAAAAACACTTCTTTATTCACCAAATGTTGCATTAATGTTATACTGTGTTCTCTGGTATACAGCAGTGAATGGTTGTGGTGTTTCTTGATTGGATTATGCTGAATAATTTTCCAGGTCTTAACCTCATGGCCATGGAAAGATATACCATATGACCAGCTGACCACTAGAGCAAATGAAGATGTCATGAAACTTGGGCTGTACTGCTATCCTTGCGATGATTTCAACTTCAAATGTATTCTCTTTAATGTCATGTTTGTCATCAAATGCATTTGTCATTCGTGCTTGGGATAAGAATGCAATTGGGCCAATTTTCGGCATAAAATTATGAGTACTCCTGCATTCAAATACCTAATTTTATGACGTTGAACATCAGGTGAAGCAAAGTAAGAAAGGAACCGAGGATCACTGTAAAAGTATTCAGATAACATACTTCTAATTTAGTAGGATTCGCAAAAGGTATCTTTTGAATCCAGCCATGTTAATGCTGGAAACACAGAAGGATACAGTACAATGCAATGCTTTATTGCAATAAATTCAGGCGTATGATTTAAAAACTCAAACCCATGAACCACAATAGCAGGCTCCTGTTCGTCAATCTTGTATATTTGGAAAAAGACACAGAAAAAATAAAATAAATGAGCACAATTATGAGATGCGAGCATCTTATACAGTTGCATTTGAGTGTAGTACTTTTCACTGAAAGCATGGAGTGTATGAATGAAAGAAAACCCAATTTAATGAACACAAGGGAGTAAGGAAATTGAATAATGTTGTGTATTTTACTTTTGCTATATATTTTCTCAAACTGAAAATACATTCATCACCCCAGGAAAAAAAAAGGGCAAAATACAATGAACAAACACCAAGTTTCTAAAATTCCGTATACTCTCGTCAGAACCTACGCATAAAACAATCCCAGAATTGAAGGTAGAAATACACGCTAAAACAACTCCACATCAGTTAAAGGAAAACGACTGTGCTACCAGTATACTGTTTCCATCATTGAAGTACTTGTGCCACCCCCTGAGGCTTGAACACAAATAAGGTGCAAGAGCCGGAAAATTAAGACTTGCAAAGATGACCGTTGAGAATTCAGGTTCCATTCCGATTTCTTGGCTGCATCCCCAGACAATTGTAAAACCACTCGTGACAGCGACTCCTTGGCACGGGTATGAATTTCCCAATCAAAGCAAGAGGCCAGCTGAAGCAGAGAGTAATTCCTATTAGCAGTCATATACACGAAGCATCCCGTATACTTTATAACAACAAATGCCAATTAACCTCTCTTGATTACATGCTTATAAAAATTTAATTAAGAAATTAATCATTTATCACCCTTCCAAGCTTTCACTACAAAATGTCTGATGGAAACTCATCGAAGTTTCATACACCTAAGACCAAGATACACTTAAAATGGATGTATGCATGGCTATAAACTAACCTGATAACTCCAATGATAACGCAAATGAGCCACTGCTTCCAATTAAGCCTCACTGTTGATGTGAACTTCCCCAGGAATTCAATGATGAGAATCTGTTCAACAAAGAAAAAAAGCAAGTTGATCATCAGCCTATTAAGTACTCCAAAAAGAAAGCAAAGACCAACAGAGGGTTCATGAAACAAGCATGACCTGAAGTATGAGAGTTAAAGCCACTATCCCCGTGAAGAGATAGTTTTTTGTGACTCCCTTGAATATGTTCCTTTCATCTGGCTTTCGTGCATTAAATTCATTAAAAATCTGCATTTTCAAGTGCGTATTTGCTATATCATTATTTATATGAGAACCAAGACTAAACAAAAATTGCAATTGTATGATAGCTTCACACATGAACAGTATATGCAAAATGATGTAGTATAGATTTCAAAATTTCTTTGACATCCAAAGGATTAGCTATAGAAAGGAGGAAAGAAGAATCCAACTAAAGGGATGTTGACCACGAGGGATTTAAGTTGGCTAAGCCACACAAGCATGGGGTGGAACTAGCAGGCCAAAGTTCCCTAGTTTCTACTACCTCAACAATCATTGCATCAGTGTCCTAAGAAACTTCAAGAATTGAACTTATGCTTCGTCAATTATTAAAATATCAAGCTAGGATCCTCCTACCAAAGCTTCAAGCCTAGAAAGCCCAATTAAGAGACAAAGACCTTTTAGCTGTCCATGAAATGGCACGCAGTGTAAATGTAAATAATGCATAGTGATTAAAAACATTCTTTGGTAAATCCCAAATTAAATTAAGGAATCTCAGGAACAGCTGAATCTCAAATGTCAAACATATTAAAGATGAGAAAAATTGGAGCTACTAGGACAGCAAAACCATCCAAATTCTATTTCAATGGATAATCATTTTTGAATCCTATTTCTTAGTATAAGCTACACATAAATTAGTTGTTCCTTCAATAAATTTCAGTGGAATTAAGGACTTACTTGACAGAGAACAAATGCATTGAATATTAAAGTGTTCTTCACTTTGGTAGCGTCAGCGTGATGCTTCAGATTCAATAAAGTCCTACCTTGGAAAGTCAGTACAAGCAAAACAGACACTTGATATATTGCCTGAAAAAGTTCCAACCAGTAATTTGATTATCCAGTCGGGGACAAATAAAATAATAAATAATTCGTTCCAGGAATGATGAAGCCAGACTCCACAGATTCAAAACCGCATCAGGTTTTATTGGTCAGCAAGCCTCCAAATAATTCCATGAAAACTGCCACTCAAACGTGGTAGTACAAAGGATAAACAGGTTTACCTGTATAAGCAGATTCCTCCACATGTGGTGTGTTATAAGAGGTTCACTGAAAGGAATACAAGAGTTCGTCATACTCATCTCAAAGAAACCATCCAGGCATAAAGACACTGCATTGATTGTTTCACAAGAGAGCTACGAATTTAACAGGTTCTTCATTCAGAAATACTTGTCCTTGTTTACTCTAGCAGAAGGCTTGGTAGTCCCACTTCTGATGAAGATTCAGTTTAGAACCATATGGTTTTATCAGTCATGTTTTAAGTTCTGTTCCTATGTCATCATATGTTGCCAGCCGTCTTATGTGGTTACTTTCAGCTTCTGTCTAGTATTTTGGGTGGTTATGTTCTGTTATTGCAATAGACTATATAAGTGTGATGTGCATTGTCTTTATATCATGAATGAAGCATCATTCAGAAAACATTAGAGATTCTCCACCCTCTAGCATTTCAGATTCTGGTTCTGGAGACTTCACTTCTCTATTCCTCTCTTTCTTCTCTTTTTCTTCTTAATTTCTACACTTAATCTCTCAGAAACTATCACACTAAAAGTTATTTTCAGGGTTGCAACAGATTTAGCATTTGAGCGCTTCCAAGTTATGAATGGCATGCCATAGCTAAAAGCTCAATGCACTACCCGTGTAGCCTAGCAAATTTCTTATAGCTCTGCTAAAGTCACGCTACAAGAGCTATTATTGTGTATCTGCATATAGTGCCATACGCTACAAATAATAGAGCAAGAACATCCCTGATTTGATGATTTTGCCAAGGCTACCGATTGAGATTCACTTGATCCATCCATGGACAATGAACATCTAATGATTTAGCATTCATTATTCACATCAAGTATACAAGTAAGGTAAAGGCATTCTCCAGTCGTACTCTTCATATGGTTGATCAATAAATGAAAAACCTCTCATCTTAAACTGAAGAGGAAATTCAGAGATTGCTTAAGATGATAATCATGAAGTTACTTTTGAGGAAGATCTGGTTTAGATATCTTGAGACTAATCGTGGATTCAAAAGCTTTGTTAAGCATTGATGTTTTTATGAAGTGTTTGATGTTATGATATGTGGACGAGTATTTTGTTGTTATGAGGCTTTCTTAATGCGACTTGGTTTTCTATATCTATTAGTCATCATCAATTATATTTTGAAAATTTTAGATTGTGCATTACATTTTCATTTAGATCAACACTAAATGTTAAGAACTACATCGTTTTGGAGCATTTGGTGCTACATGCGTGCTATCAATAACTACGGGTTCTCCCCTGCTAAGTTTTTGTATTCCTTGAAGGAGATGGTGTCGTTGGAATATTATTCTTCATTCTTCAATTGCATTCCTTAGTTCAAATAACCAATGATAAGAAAATGGCCTTCCTAGAATTATTGTATTATTCTGCACCATTACTTTCTTGAGTTCGCAAGCAATGGGTTCCAAAGGAGTAACATATGAGACACGCGGAAAAATCCAAAATATCAAGTAATGACCCTGCCCATTAAAAAAGAAAAAGAAAAAAAAAATCTCACCTTCTACCTACTGGAGCTCGATCCATCAAACGATCCGTAGGTGGTTCAGTTGCCAAGGCAAGTGCTCCAAGTGTGTCCATGATGAGATTTACCCAAAGAAGCTGTAGAGAAATCAGAAAGCAATAGAGAGAATAAAAATGTCTGCCAAAATAGATGAGCGCAAGTGAGAGAGGAGGAGAAATGGGAACAGTGGGTACCTGTACTGCATTTAGTGGGACATCGCCAGAGGAAACTGCAGAAATAACATTAATAACCAGAGCTGCAACATTGACGGTAAGTTGGAACTGGATAAATTTCTGAATGTTTGCATATACAGACCGCCCCCATCTGACAACCTGCATTTAATTCACAAAAGCCAACTAAATATGCTGTACAATTTATCCATTAAGTAAGAATTCACTTCAGAAAATGATTCTGCTCACAGCTCGTCAATGAACCTCTCAGGGAATTCTAAATAAATGAAACAGTGTTTTCCGCATCTTAAGATGCATTCTTCTTGGAGAGGTGGCTGTTAATGAGCAGTTATTTGAAAACAGGTAAAGCTAACATCTAAATAAGGAAAGAGGACTAACCTTCACAACCGAAGCAAAGTTGTCGTCCAAAATAATGATATCTGAGCTCTCCTTAGCAACTTCTGTCCCTTGTATGCCCATTGCAAGACCTACATCTGCCTGAACTCCAAAAGGTATGGATTTCCAATGACAACCATCAAAATATAAAATAGTTTGCGCAATTAGAGAAAAATAACCACTCCCACGAGAGTCAGAGAAAATAAAAATTCAAATTACGAATCAGAAGGTTTAGAAACCATTGGAATCCATATCAGCAGTGATGATTAAAAAATTACTATTGTAATCACCCAAGAAATTAGAGATTCTTAAAATAAATAATAAATAATAAAACAAAATATAATAAGAATAAAAGATAATAAAATTTCTTATTTCATATCTATATCTAAAATTATAGGTTAAAAAAAAAACAAACAAGAATGGAAGTTCTAATAAATTGGAGAATGCATCTTATATAATAATCCATAAATTTCTAATAAAATTTAATTTTTGACAAGATATTTTGAATGTATTTTTATAATTTTTAAACTAGATGAAATAAGAGAAATTGTTGGTCGCGTGAAAACTTTGTCCCTTAAATATTCTTGAGTTCTGGGTTTGAATCTTCCTTATGCTTAAGAGGAGTATTTTATTTTGTTTCATCCATTATCCTTTAAAAAAAAAAAAAAAAAACCGTGCACCCGCATCAGATTTTCCCCTCCTTCCATTTCATTTTTGCGTCTTGCAACCAACGGAGACTCTCACTCGACTGGACTAGATTTGAAACCCTCACTTCTCTTTTCCTCTCAGTCTGCCCTCTTCTTCCATCACCCTTCCCCTTCTCGTCGTCGGTGTGTGCACGGAGGAGCCAGGCTCGTCACCGTCGGAGGTCGTGGTCAACGTTCGCGGCTCTTCCTCGTCCTTCCCTGCTTTAAGCTGGCGATCTCTTCTTCTTACCCCTTCGTTCGCGTAGCTGCTGTCATTTTCACCTCTTCGTCCTTCTCCTTCAGTCGCCTATATGTGTGGTACAGTTTCACCCTTCTTCCTCTTCTGCTATGATTGTGTCCGAGTATTCTTATCTTTCTTCTCTCCTTTGCGTGGTGTATGTAGCGGAGTGGGTGGATGAAATTTCACTTTCTTATTTAATTTCAGCTACTGTACGTGTGGGTCAAACGAGGAATTTGAGTGTGCCTTAATGGAAGATGGAGGTGGAGTAGAACATTGGGTAAGCAAATTATTTTTCTTATATTTTCTTCTGGTTGTTTTAAAGAGAGAGAGAGAGCGACTTAAGTTATGATAATCGAAAAATGGTTGCCTAGAAATTTCAAGGTTTAAGTTTATTTATTTGTTTTAGCTAATGGGATGCATATCAAGTGTTTGAGGTAATGCCTGAAAGAAGAAATAAAGAGAAATTGATTGTGTCGAGAAGATGAACATATAGGAGGTAGTGCAGGATGAACACCTACAAATGTTTGAATGGTTAGGAGATATTTTTCTTTTAGTTGGTTGCTAAGCACTAAAAGTAAGGTTACTCGATATCTTTTACCAATGGAGAGAATTACAAGCTAAAAGTTGTAATTGTAAGTTAGGGATTGGATTTATTGAAGATGATTTTCCCTTTTTTTATGTGATTTTCTTTGATGCTTGAAAGTTGTTGGGAGGCATACCTGTTCTAGAGCTGCTTGTATGAGTGGGTGTATGAAATTGCTTGAAAGAAACTAAAATTTTATGGAAGTTGGTAGCTAGTTAAAATAGTTGCAAGGCGATTATATTATGGCTTTCTTGAATTGCTCAATCTCTATATTAGCATCGGGGAGTTTAAATATGGATTCTTAACCTTAAGAGAGAAGCTAGCTAATAATTTGGTTATTTGAAATTTGATTTCTGAAGTGGTTGGGATTTATGAATTATGAACAATGTGATTTGTTAAGATATATTATAGTTGGTTATAAGTATTGCATGTAACTTTTATTGGAAGAGCATTAAGATAAAGATGGATAAGAATGAAGAAAAGTTACAATGGGATTGATAATAAAACAAAAACGCTTGGATGGAAATTTGACAATAATTTCTCTTTGGCTACTTAGATAACCATTATGGTGATTTCTCGTGGGATTTGCTAAAGGGTAAATTTTATTTATTTGGCAATGTCTTAGGTAAGTTAATGATGTCCTCCTATAATTTAAAGTGATGCTTTACTTCTTGATTGATTTTCTTTTATTCTAAATGAATTTCCTTATTATACCTTAATTTTTAAATATCATGGAGTTTTGGATTTTTCTGGTTAAAGTATGTAAATCGTCTGGACAAGGTTTGAATTTATTTAACTTTTCTTATAGTTAATTTGTTTTCTAAAAATATTATACATGCATGGGTTGAACAACTTACTGTTGAAAAGATCATTTGTATCAATTTGAATTACAAGGTTCGCTAGATTCCATGTATGCTAGAAATGTTTTATAGGATTGAATATAAAAATATTTGTTGCCAACAATAGTTTCGTTGGCCTTTGGCACACTATAGTACCCCTAACTAGCAGGTGCATTAAAAGTGCTAGCCCTATGTGTTGGCCAACACATGTGGAATAGATGATGTATTTTTGAGGGTATAACTTATGCCTATCATTTGTAATTGTAAGCCTGGTGCTTACGCTTGTTTTCATGGCCTCTTGCCATGTTGGAAGTTATTTACCTTCATGACTTTGTACCCACCTTTGTTATTTGTTTTGTTTTGTTTAGGTATAAATATTTTTGGCTTTAAATAATAGAGCTGAACCTGCATTTCAGGTAGACTCCTAAGAAGTACTTATACGGATAGCCAAATAGAAAGTTTTCAATTGCACATTGTCTCTACGTAATATGATTGAAAAGTCCTAAACCCATTGTAATTGTTTTGTATCTTAGTTAATTATGCTCCATGTATTTTATAGTTAGGATACTCGCCTGGTTATGTTTCAGATTTGTGCTATTGTATGAATTTCAAGGGGTTAACTTTATTTTTTTTTCTTAGGGAGCAATCTATCGAAAACTTTTTGAAGAGAGAGAGAGAGAGAGAGAGGGAGGGAGAGAGAGGCTTAAACATTTTTTTATTATTATATAAGATCTCGCTTGGTAGCAGGTCTTCTACAAGGTTTGTGAGTCTAAGGAGATTAATAAGTATTTCTAGTTATTAAAGACTTTAGGGATGAGTTATCTTATGTTCGGGGTTGACCGCACCTAAGTTTTTTGGCCTGTGGCAACTATGACGCGACAAAAATATAAAAGAGACAAAGCAATACATTAACAAAATTTGTTATTAACTTACTATTGTGGGATGCAGCAAACTTCAGGCAATAAAAAAAGAAGTGCAAGCTTAAAGAACATAAAGTTATTTGCGCACCTCATGTAGGGCGGGAGCATCATTAGTTCCATCTCCTGTAACAGCCACAACATGCCCCATCTTCCTCAATGCTTTCACAAGCAGAAGCTTGTCATTGGGAGAAGACCTTCCCATAACCTATATGTTACACAACATTGATATTCAACCAAATTTTCCGGGGAACTACATCACATTAAGAATGCAAACCAAAAGTTGCCAAAGTGGTTAAATACCAATAAATTTTGGGCAACTTTTTCTCTGGCTTCATCTGACAATGCACGAAATGATTTCCCCTCAATGATGTAGGGCTCCACAGCTTCTGCCGATGTTCGAAGTATTCCACACTCTATAGCAATTGATTTTGCAGTTTCTAAGTTGTCACCAGTAACCATTCGTACCTGGGGTCAAACAATAAGTACTCATCTGATTATTGTTACTTGTGAACACAGAAAACTGTATACACAAGAATGCTGCATTTCTTAATCCAGTGATATTGAAAAAGTTAAGTTAATATTAGAAGAAATTGAGATTCGTAACTATGCAGTTTTAATGCAAAATAAAAAAAGCATAAACAGTATAACAACATTCTCACCATTTCCGTGACAAGAAACTGATATATCAGAACAAGGTATGATAAAATCTAACTACAGCAATCCAAACAAAGACCTAATCATCTACAAGCAACTTTTTCTTCCTCCCTGTAAACTCTAGAAAATCCAATAATCATAACCAACTTTTTTAGTATTGAGAACATAGAAACATGATCTTACAAACTTTATCATACTAATAAAATTGAATTTAAATAATATAACGAACTTTGCCAACCGGGTCAAATTTATATAAGCTAAATGACCTAAGTATCTAAATTTGAAATGGACACAGTAGCATAAAAAGAACACCTTAACTCCAGCTTTTTGGCAAAGTTGCACAGCCTCTCTGACACCAGGTCGACAGGGATCCTGCATTGATAAAATATACAGGGTAAATTATCCTAGACAACAGATCACCTCGAAACTCCAACTATTTAAGTGACGCCTCATGCATAATTTAATTCCAATTAGTAGCACATCCATTGAATGTAGATACCATGAAGTATGATTATGCTATGAAAACCATGTTGGTCATAGAAACTAAGGCAAGTGGTTCAAAGTTCACTAATTGAACCGTGGTTGAGCCCGTTAATAAATTAATATACTTTTTAATTTTATGTATTGAAATGATATAATTACAAGTACAGATTTTTAGAAAGAGAGTTTGAAGTTTTTCCTAGAGATGATCATATCCCTTTTAAAGTTAAATAGTTTGAAGTGAAAATATGAAATATTTATCCACATATCAAGGGAAAGTTATTGAGATTAACCCCAAAAAAGAAGAAGCAAAAGTTAAACAAAAAAGGTTTCATGTTCTTTAAAGATATGGTCGTCAAGCACTTTTTAGAGGAAAATTTAATCTACAATTAAGATATTTTGGTTAAAAAAAGATAGATAAATACTATAAAGTAAAAATATGAAATAGTCATTGTCTACGAAGAAAAAAGTAATGGAAATCGACTATAATTCATCAAAGATGAGAGGAAAAATAAGATGGTATTTAGGCTCGCACTGAACTTTGAGGTCCCTCATAGTGTGGGTAAAAGGAAAGGGACAGGATTGGAAATCTATAAAAGCAAACCAAGAAAAAGAAGGGGAGGGGGGGAGATGCTCAATGCTTTGCTGAAGCTTATGCATGTCTGAAGCATGAGGAGGTCCTTTTTAACCATATGGGACCTCCATTTTTTTTTTTTTGAACTGACATTGACTGATTTAGTACTAGTTTTGACCAGTTAAGCCGGTTATTGACTAAATTAGTTGGTCTTTGACCAAGTGAATTTTGGATTGGACATATGACTGGTTTCGGTTTAACGAGTTGAATTTGCTAGTCCGCTTTGGTCTGGCAGGAGTTTAATAGACTCAGAAGAGGTCAATGAACTTGTGCACTTGTGAGTTTACAAACTTCAATAAAAAGCGTATGGATATTTACACACACACACACCCAAAATAAGGATATTTAAGATGCCTTGTAATATGGGCAATGCCTAATGAAAAAGGGTAGGTGATAGATTGCCCAATTATATATAAATCAGTATCCCAGCATCAAGTAAAAAACATTAAAAAAATTCATCCATAACAGAATTATAATATTGAAATCTGAATAAAATTCAAAAAAGGTCTACGTCCAGGAGATTTGCCCTTCTGGGGAGATCTTAAGACATAACATGATTATACCAACTAGATCAGCAAGTAAGCATCAACAGAGGCTTCTGCTTTACGCAGAGAAAGGTCCTGGTCTCTCGAAAACCCTGGGAATTTGCCATTTTTCTTTAGTTTCACATCATTCTATAACCAGAGCTCTGGACCAGTTTTTGAATTAATACAGCACCCCACTCATACTGATACAGACCCATCATGCAACGGAAGGGCTTATATAAGATAGACAGTCGGGACATAGTAGTACTGATAGTAAGATGATGACAATAAATGGCTTTACATCTGGAGAAAATACGCACCTTCAGACCAACAATAGCCAGTAAGATGAGATCATCCTCTGGTAATGACCAGTGAGCAAGTTCTTCTTCACTAGTTGGAACACTTGTCATTTCATATGATCTATATGCCATGGCAACACAACGTAGACTATCAGAAGCCATATCTTCAATAGCTTTTTGAAAAAATGCCATCTGCAAGCCAAGAAATTCTCAGTCTATCAAACTTTCAAATTAGTGGAACATGAATAATCAAAACTCATCTTCTCTGCAGAATCTCCCGCACTCTGCTTTTTCTTTTTAATTAGTTCCAATTGTATTTCTTGTATTTCTCATTTAATATATCTATTTTATATATAATATATAATCTATGTTATGTCAAACAACCCGTGTACTACCTTGAATTTACTTTTGTATTATGTTTGTAAGTGCATGTATTTCAACATGTTCAAATTTCCATGGACAAAAAGCAATCATATACTGGCAGAATTCACTAAAATGACGAAAGATAGCAAAAATGGGGGGATTCTAAAGTCTTCAGGGAATATTCTTCTAAGATATATCATCTGAGCTGACTTGCATTTTTGTTTGGGGCCACTAGCTGACTTCCAAATTGAAACAAAATAAACACAAAAAATATGAGTTCACCATCGATCTCAATATATATCTATTTTGTCAAACCTTCTTATCATCCATCTTCACTAGCTGGCCGGTTGCTTCAATATACCATGTACAACAGGCTAGGACTATCTCAGCAGCACCTTTCCAATGTATGTGAACTTGAGAGTCAGACTGTAGACATGAAAAACCTGGAGTTAGAAAGCCCTGGAATAGAAAGAAACTACAAAGCACTTAACATTGCTTATCGTGATGACAAATCGATTGGTTCAGAGCACAAGCAAAAACTCTTGATATTAGGTTTCAACGACCAGTAGAAAACAATATTTAGACATATAAAGATAAGCTCAGATTCTCATAGTCAATTATGGTGAGATATAGCAATGGCTATAGTGCGTAACACGTTGTTCCGGAGGTCACACGTAACAAGTTTCATACACCAATTGTAGTGGCTCTAGCATTCACTATCCGCAATGTATGACAAGGCAAAAATCCCTCTTTGAAACAAAGAAGACCAGAGGCAGAAAGGTTCACTGAATCTTCTTCATTGACACTCCGCAATGTCTCCCATCACTCTATATACAATGCAATCTTTTCTGTTGATACAATCATATGGATATCCCTCTTGTGACCAGTTAGTTATGTCTTTTCTCCTCTTCCTCTCTAGCGCCCTCATCAGCAGATAATACAATCTTGGTGATGAAATATAAGAATAATATATTTTGAAGAAATCTAAGCTAGTAGATTGTCATTATTTTGGGAAAAAATAGGTTTTCTTGTGTTATTTTAATATTTTGTAAAAGGAAATCTGAAAAGTGGCTTTGTATGGATGAGTGATTAAGGTTTCCTTAATAGGTTGGCAACTTTAGTTTAAATAGCCTAGGCTTTACTCTTGTAGGAAAAAACTTGATGAATGAAATATTGTGATTGAGTACTCAGACAACTTCCCCCTCTCTCTTTCGTCTGCCTCTCCCTTTCTTTTTCTTTCTCTGTCTGCTCTCTCCCTTCTCTGTTTCTGCCTCTAATCTCTTCCTCTCCCTTTCTATTTCTCCCTGCTTTCTCCCTTGTTCAGATCTATGCAAGCGTGAGTGTGTTTCACATCACTTGGGCCGCCCTTGTTATCCTTTCTCTTCATTCTTGTTTCGTAAGTTTTCACGGCTCTTGGTTCATTAACTACAAGCCCATCATAATTAAACAACAAAAAAACGATAGATCTTAAAATATCGGACTGTAAATATCGCAGTGCATTAGCCTTATTGATATGCCCAACATGACATGCAGGCAAAAAGAGAAAAGGTGAATACAAAAGCCATAGTACCGTCTTTACTGCAACTCCACCACGTTTTTTCTCTGAATTAAATGGAAAGACATGAATAATTGATGACTCTGATCTGACAGCCTCAAAATTCATCCCCATCTGAGTTACTCAAACAGTCAGAATGTGTTTATTTTAAAAAAAATATACTTAAAAAGAAGAAAAATTAAAGAAACAAACCTTAATTCCCCAATGTAAAATTGCCTTTTCTGTTGGTGATCCAGAAACCTCAACATCACCCTGTAAAAGATAATATAAATATCAATGCAGTTGCAATCTACTTCAGCACACGCAACTGTTATGAAATATGAATAAAGTAAAAAGGGCAATTAGTTATATCATACCCCAACCATAGAGACACTGCCATTGGTGTTCTGTGCAACACCTTCAGTGATCAAATTGCAGAGATTCGGAGAGAGCTCTGACTTGCTGTCAGGTCCAATCTTCTTCCCACCACTGTACACCTTAACCACAGTCATCTGTCAATAAAAGTAGTCATGAGATTTGAAAGAATGAACTAAAACTCTACACACTCTACTATCTCCACAATCTAGGGCCAACTGCAGTCACTTCCTCAATTTTTATCCAAGATAAAGAGCTACTGACAAAAGCTCAGAACTTGTGCCCTTTCCTATCCATGGGTGTCAGGAGCTATCAGATTTACAGGTTAGAAGAAATTCAAACTCGTAATTTTTCTCAAAAGTTAAGAGGCTTTATATTCTGAAAGAGCTGTCTAGAACTGATACCACTTCAAGATGAGAGCACTTGCAACAAGCACACTACAAGAAGTTGATGTAACATGCAACAAGAAGCCCATAGTGTGTGAACCTCTTCTTTAATCCTACTGATCTGTTGGGTTTGATCCCCTGTTATACTCTAATATCTACTTTGGCTAGCACTTATCAAAACAAAAAAGAAGTTGATGTAACATGCAACAAGAGGCCCTATCCCACTAAGTTGACGTAACAAAGCGTGAGAAAAATTAAATTGGAGGTTCCAGTAGTCCAAAAACTGCATAACCTTATAACCAACCTTATTCATGGTCAATGTACCAGTCTTATCACTACAAATGGTTGTTGCAGAGCCCATTGTCTCACAGGCTGAAAGCCTCCTCACCTGCAGTTTCATTTGTTATATTCAATTTAGAAAATAAATATGACAAATTGCAATAGGAAGTTTCAAACACAAAAATCAAGACATACCAAAGCTTTGTCCGCCATCATTTTTCTCATTGAGTAAGCCAGTCTAAACAAGGTTAAATAAAGAAAAGGTATAATTAGACAAAAAATTGAGATTTAAAGAAAAACAAAAACAATGTTATGGACCGAAAGAGCATATAAAACCTGATATTTATACATATAATGCTTAATAAAAGGGTAGGCAGGACATTTACTTAAATTATACAAATGGAACATATGCCTTGCATTCTGAACCTCTGAGATTCTAAATCATTAAAATGTTGAGGTCACTGACATCTTTTTAGCCAATTTTGATGCACTCAAAAATCACAAGAGCAATGACAATTAATCTATCCATATGGAAAAAGCACCAAAGTTTTAACATCCACCAACACATGGCAACGGAGAATGACAGGAGAGAAATAAAATTAGAAATTCAGAAAGCAAGTCTTACTTTTATGAACATAAGCATACTTACGTTAAGGTAACTGCTAGAGGAAGCCCTTCGGGCACTGCAACTACAACAATGGTCACCTAAAAGGTGCAATGAGTCACAATCATCAAATAAGTGTCCACTTGAAACCCTTGAATGTTTTCAAATAAAAACAGAAGTATAAACACATGCAACGTGCATGTGGATAACCCAGTATTTATCAACACACATACCGCAACTGTAACTATTTTAATTGCCCCATTAATTGCATCACCAATTTTTGTCTTGCCTGCCTTAAATTCAACATTGCCATTTGCATCTCTAGTATGCCCAGAGAAATATCTGCAAAAAATTTCAACATTTCAGAGACATGGAAAAAAATCTATTTAATGCATGCAAAGAACAAATGGAAAGCATTAGTAATTAACAAGTTACCTGGCCAACAACACAATCAAAACGATAACAGCAACAGAGAGTCCAACAATACCAATGAAAGTGGCAACACCATTTAAACGTACCTATGTTAAGACCTTGCACAGTTAAACACACTGACGATACACAAGCAGTGAAAAAATCCACATGTAAATAGAGAACCTGTAAGGGCGTTTCTTCACCATTGTCTTCTGAAATACTAGACATCAGAAGCCCCCATTCAGTATTTAAACCAACACCGAGTACCTAGCCGATTAAAGCAATTCACGTGAACATTCCCCCAAAAACTGCAGTTTTAATTAATAAAAAAAGCAGCCTAAACTGCAAAAGATAAATTTCATTTAGTTTACAATATTTATTGAACTTAATGAATTACTAATCAAAGATTGGAACAAATTAACAAGTGTTTCTTTCCATCATCTACCCAAAGAATTATGCCAACAAAATCAAACTAAACACGCTATCTCTTTCATATCACCATCCACCCAAAGAACTGAACTACATAAAGAAACACCTACGCAGCATCCGATGGAAGTATCCCAAAAAGAGTATGATCTCATGACTTGACCAATCAGCAAAACTCCCCATAAAGTGTACAAGTTTTATCATCTATAATTTTTTTGGGGGAATGACTCTCCAAAGATCAATTTAATAACAGTTGAATCCCAAAAAAATATGATAGATGAGTTGCAAATATTATTTCAAAGAAGTGCAAATATGAGTCAGTTGCAAATCAAGCATTTAAGTGTTAGAGGTCGTTTCAAGTGATTTGCAACTAAGACTTCCATATTTGCAACTGTTGGAGTCAATATTTACAACTCATTTTTCAAAAACATTTTCTAGGACTTGGTTGCCATTAAATTGATCTTTTGGGACCTAAGTGTCATTCCCCCATTTTATGTCAAGTTTATCACCCACAACTACATTGAAAGATTATATGTTTTCTTAACCACCTTGACAACCTTCACAAAATTTTTTTAATGCAATTATCTGATATTCCCGGGTCAGATTCAAGCGTTATTGGGTTTTATAAGGGTTAGCTCTCCTGATGTGAGATTTTTAATCCACAAAGTTCAAGCCTTCACCTTGCTTTAGGGAATTTGAGTTCCTTCTGGTCCACCCAACCACCATTAATTACAAAGTCTGTTTGCATCAATAATAAAACTGCAATTACCAAAGGAAAAAAAAAATAAGGAAGTATAAATTTACCAGCATGGTGCCACTGCCATCTGCAACTTTACATCCAGACATCAGAAAAGGGTTTTTAGAGTCCTTATAGACCTGTTAAATTGAAAATTATCATCAAAACTTGCTTGAGGAGATAGTGGTTGCTTTAATTCCCTAGAAGATAGAACACTTACAGTCTTGCTCTCCCCAGTCATACTTGATTCATCAATAGCAAGAGAGTGACCAGTGATCAAGATACCATCGGCAGGGACCTTCAGAAGAGAAGTTAAGAAATAAATAGTTGAATAAAGGGCAACCATTAAGTATAATAGAACAAAAATGATAAAAGATACTCATATACCTGGTTACCGATATTAAGGGGCACAACATCACCAACAACGATGTCATATATAGAGATCTCAACCCTTCTACCACCTCTTATAACCTACTTATATTTCAAAGGAATATTAGAGAAGTATATTAAGAAGGAATTATATCAATAACTAAGAAGTTAAAATGATGCAAATAAGACTGACCTCTAAATGTATATTTCTCTTCTCGTCATTCAGATGTTGAAACTGAAGAGACTGTTTATAATCGCTTATAGCTACAACAGGAAGGGGAAAAAAAGGTGGCTCATGCCTCTAAGAAAAACCTTACTAAATATAAATTCATTGCTACAGCCTCCATGACCCAAAAACAAAAAAATAAATTGGATCACATAATGACATCTCCGCCAAACAAAATTTAACCCACAAAGCTAATTAAGAGATAGGATCATGTGTGAACATAAATTTTTAACAATTATGATCTTCACAAAGACAAGATAAGAATATTATACCTGTAACAACAATAACAAGAATTACTGCAAAAGCAATGCTGCCCCCATCATACCATCCTTCCTTAATACCCTGAAACAGACACGTGATTAGAAATTATTCTATTTGCATGATCATCACAGAAGCCTCTGCTAACTAATTATCAAACCTAACCACACTAACAAAATTTGCTCTCTATTTTTCCAATCCCTGCCAAGTCCAAGTCTGTAATCTTTCCACCCCCACCCTGTCCACTCCCCTACTTAACAGCTCATCTTCACCTGACCTAAAACTTCTTCCCTTTCATGCATCAGCCCACCCCATTCACTCCATTTTATATGAAACAAGCCAAGTCACACCCTTCGCAAGTAACCGTTTCTGTGGAAGTTGGTCCCATTGTGATACTGCCCAATGTGGCCCTCAGCAAATATGTGTAACTATAAGAAGAGTTACTTGTGATCACCAAATGTTGGATTCTATCAGTTCCTTGCTCTTGTTTTCTCACTTATAAGATTATATTTCATATATTTTGTTTGACTTTTTTGTTTGGGTCTCTAGTATGGGGGCGGGGAGAGAGAAGAAAGAGAGAGAAAAGAGAAGCTTCAGCTGTCAACTTTCATTAACATTCTCTCACACCATTCACTATCTCTTTTAATAACAATATGAGTTAGCAACTAACGGATTCAGTTATTCATTTGGTACACTAATCCACGCTATTAACATTCATCTCATATCAGTGCCACCCCACCCTCAAGAAAAGAATCTTTCAAATATCAACGCACTTGTCTAATAATAATAATTACAAAATGCTTCACCTCCAAGTTCACACAAGATTTTTGAAACTATTTCTGGTTATACAAAAAACTCTGCCTTTAGCCAAGGAAAGGGCATGCCCAGATGATAATAAGTAGGACTGTATGCAAGAGCATCCCCAGCATAGACATAAATAAGGTATGAAAAAAAGGAAGTATAGCTATGAAAAAAAAAAAAGAACCTTCATGGTAATTTTATCGGAAGCCCATTCTGACTAAAGCATTGCACAGCATAGAGTTGAACCAAAAGGAAGTGTAGCTATAAACTATAAAGTATGAAATTTACATAAATAAGAAATTCTATGAAGTTTTGCAAAGAATTTGACAGAAAAACAGAGAAAACTTTACAATTTCTAATTAACAAAAAAAATTCTATGAAAAGAAGGAAAATGCTAGCACATTCAAATTTGCATGAAACAATGAGAGTCAATAGATAAGTCCCCTATCTCCACCAAATGCAGATATTTATGCAGCACTGGCACCACCTTAGCAGGTGACAGGTCTGAGTAATGATGTATCACCATGCTATATGTCTATCAGATTACTAATGGCGTAGGTTTGTGCTAAAATAATGGTTGGCAATGATCATCTCTTACTAGTTTCGTTTCTGGTATAAAAATGCTTTGAACTGCAATGTTACATTCATTTCTAGTAAATTATTATTAACTTATACATATTCTCTTCCCTTAAATATATCATATATTGTACCAGTCATGTCCTTATTCTACATTCTGAGAATGCTTTCATGTCCCTTTTTTTTTTTTTTGTGCAATGAATACTTCCATATCTGGGTATAATCATGTTGTAAGCAATATGCCTGCCTGTATATGTGCTACCAGGATTTACCCATTCTTCAGAAATTTGGGCACAAAGAATGCTAAATAACTTTCCGAGCCAATCTCACCTCAGTTTTTATTCCTAGTGCTAATGAAGCTGCCGCAGCTACCATTAATATCATCAAGGTCAGATCCTTGCAAGCATCCCACAAAAACATCTGTGAAAGAAATTTATTAAAAAAATATATATATATATGTCACCATAACTTGCTCCAATTATAAAGAGAACTGAAATAATAGTATCAAGCCTCTTATGAATACAGATGAGCCAAAATTCTACCCAAAAACTCCTTCCTTTCTTTCGAGGATAATTGTTTGAACCAAAAGCATTTCTTCTTTTTATTAGATCTGCATCATCACCATTAATCCCCTTCTCTGTACTAGATTTCAACAATTCTGATAGCCCTCTAGCCTGATTCAATAATTCATAAGAAACACATGATCTTTATGAAACAAAGTAACAAACTAGCACCATTGCTAAAGTTAAAAAATTTCATGGCAAACTTACCCCACCATATTGTTGGAGGACATCAACTTTATGATCCCTAGAAATTGAAAGAAGTTCTTCATTTCCGATACCAAAGTCACCAACTGGGCGTGGGTGAGGAGGTGTGATTTCTAAAATGTTTAAAAACACTAATTAGCAATATTACAACATATCAAAGTTCACCTCCAGCAATTGGATGAAATCTGTAAACTGTTTTAGGACGTAAGATGGTATAGTTATGCAACCAGAATAGTGAGAATAAGAGCAATTTTGAAGTACTTAAGAGGACTGTCTTTTCGAGAGTGCATTTTCGCCTTTAGAAGTTAATGGAGAAGGGGAAGAGAACAGGACAGATGTTCTTAATAATTAGTGAATTAGGATTAAAGATAAATTAAGGAAATAATATTTTAGTAGGATAAGAATTAGAAATCAATAATTCAATTACTTTTGTTGGATTCAAAGTGTTAGTTATCGATTTAATTATCTTTTATTTCAGTTTAGCATTATCTTTTATTTTTGAATTATGGGGATAATTCCCTGGCCTCAATATAAATCCCATAGTCTTTAAGGTTGGGAAACTGATTTCTGATTCAGAAAGACCAATTGAAACCTATTGTCAAAAATCTGAGGAGTCAATTGAGACTGAATAGCCTACATACAATATTTAACTTTAAGTGAAAGGGCAAAAAAAAATGAAGAATATCATGAATTAGTGACATCTTACCAACTATAAAATAACACCGGACTTCTAAGCCAGAGGTTTTCTAGTCCCACATGCAGAGCATACTTAACTGATATACCAAACAGAAAACAATTTTATTGGAGATTGGAGTTAACTGCCTTACCAGCTGTCCAAACGAAGGTCGATGAACAACCACTACAGCTAACTCAAAATACAGAAATGCAAAAATACAATTTCACGCAGATTGTACTTTATAAAAGTGCAGAAAAATGTAAAAATCCAACAGATAAGAATCTAATGACACCAAAGACGCTTCTGCTTCTGGAAGGCAGGAAACTCCAATAAGCAATGCCTTTTTTCTGATGCTATCGTAATTCAGTATACACAAATGGTAATTCAGTGACTCACCATTCCCCCCGTTTATAGCAGCACCTTTGAAAAGATATGCAGCCTAGTTGATTAAAACGAATTATTAGAGCACCGCACATAAGTAAACAAACAATAATAAAAGGTCCAGTTGAAAGAACCATACTCTAATTGCTTCTGCATGAACCCTTATCTTCCCCAATATTTGCCGATTCTCCTCTTCTTTTTTCAAGTCCAATGTGTAACGGAACCGACGAGAAGCATTAAGCACAAGCGCGGCTTGCTAGAATTAAAAATATTAAAATTAAAAAAATAAAAGGCATCTAGTCATTAAAGAGAACATTATCTGACAATGACAGTGAAAATAAAAGGCATACAGGAATACAAAGATTATAAGCCAGATGCAATCCCATCAAGCTGTTTATCTTCATTCTTGACATTTTAACGAAACTATAGCATAGCAACACTGACACCGATAAAATGGTATATGAAGCTGATTTAAGATGATATAGCATGGACAAGCAATAGCTCATATTATTTTTCTCATAAGTATTAGAAACCGGGGTCTACCTGCTGGGGCCTATATTTTTATAAGTCATATAGTGGAATTTTATATTCAGATTAGTGAACATCTCAGGTCACGTGCACTCACCTTTAGCACCTGAGTGAAATCTGCTTCCTTCTTTTAAGAATTTTTCAGATAGTGCCAATAATTAAGTTCTGAACTAATTTGAACCAATCCACTTACATTTCAGCTTCACGCAATCTATATAAAGTCCTCTATCAAGCTCAATCTAAATGACAGAAATACAGGCAGAAAGAAGGGTTTGAGGAAGGTTAGGGCAATGATGACTAGGTGATACTAGTTTATTTATCATATTCTAAATTTATGACGTACATCGTTGCATGGTTGAACAATAATTTAAAAAGCAATAAATGCTTTAAATCGGACTCTGAAACCAAGAACCTAGAAATTCTAAAATAAATTAATCAATTAAAATACTTAGCTGAAAGGATGAGTATGAAAATGTAATCCTGTCAATCCATATTTTTCTAGCATCCAATAATAAGAAACCCAGCCACCCAAGTTTTCAACATTACTACTCATAACTAAATGCTTAAACCCTTAATGCTGAAGTCTTCTTTAATCCTACAGGATCCACTGCAAAAGAAAGCAAGCCCTTCTCTGAGTAATGGAAATATTTCAGAAGAATTATCACTGTCCAATCCTTTTAACAATTGGTCCACTTCATCTTTGGGCAAGACACAGTTAAACCTCAGGAGCTTGTCCTTCATCCCACCTTCCCCGTGCCTCAATGATTGTCAGTAAAATTTGGAACGAGTGCAACAGAATCCTTCGATCATATTTGTCTCCACAACCATGCATCCACACATTTAGTGCCCAAATTTAAAGCTTCCTTCTCTGAGCTTAATCACGTTTTCTGAAACTCAAGAGATGAAGTTAGCCCTCTCAGACTCTCAATCTACTGAAGGGCTTTCTACGCTGGGTTATCACTTATCAAAAATATTCATCAAGTTGTAATTTCCTAATTCAAAATGTAACATCATATGCAAAGCCAACAATGCCATTGGCTGTATTGTAACTATTCTGTCCCCTGCTCTCCTTTATGTTTTGTATGAGGCGGTCCTTGTTCCCTTATTAGGTTAAAATTAGAAGAATTTGAATCCAAAAAAAAAAAGGCATCTTTAATCTCAGACCTTAAAACTACCATTATGGAAATCTTCAATAAACAAAAAAGTTGTGGCTAACTGTTCTTATGTCCAGATAAAAACTAGAGTGACCATAAATGAGCAAAATACATCCTAATACCAATGAAACAGATTAGCAAAAATTCCTTATTTGAAAATGCTTAATGCAGAAACATTAACATTATGAAGAAGTTAATTGAAATTAAAATACCTGTATATGAGTACAAGTATCCATACGAAATGTTAAGCAACTTATCACGGGAATAAAAGGTTTAAATGCTTCACCTAGATAATGAGATAAGATTCAAATATGTCTTGTTATTCCTAGAAGACGTGACAACAGATAAGGACTAGACATTGATGTGGCTTCTTACTACATGTCGTCAAATTCTCCAGTTGGAGCATAACGAGTATATATTTTTTTCAACAATAATATAACAAGTACTTCATCAAAAAATAATAATAATAATATAACATGCATATGACTTAGTTGGAGAACCATAAACTTATTAACAAATACTATTGTCAGGAGTTTGATACAATGTTTTCCCATCTACTGTGGTGTAAGCATACTACGAGATATCTAGCATAAGTTATTATAATTCTTTTTTGGGAGAATAACATTTAAAGCCCTCTCAAGGGGCTTTATCCCAATAAGAGGTCACAAGTTTTTCATAAGACATTGTTTTGTAAAAATATGCATATGTTGTTGTTAAAAACTAGATTTTAACTTGTATTTTTTGTTAGGCTTTTCTTAAAAATTTACTAAGTTAATATTCAACTTTTAACAATAACATATACCTATTTATACAAAAACAATATTCGATAGAAAAATTGTGAGCCCTTCTTGAAATAAATCCCTTGAGAGGGCCTAAATGTCATTCTTCTTCCTTTTTTTATAAAAAGATATTATAATTCTCATGATATCTATTTTTGCATTGAAATTGGCAGTATCTTGCATCCTCGTTGACACAAGATACCACCAATTTAAATGCCAAAAAGAAAAATAAATTGAAAGTTCATCTGAAATTATTTTTAATCATTTATGATTGTATTTTACATGCTAATGTTTTTCTATCAATAAATCTTTCGGCTACCATCAAATAACATTCTTTTGAAAGGGATGCGGCGTCAGAGTGTTATCTTAGATGCCACCTTTAATCACATAAGAACAAGCCCTGTCATCTGATCCTGACATCCTTTTTTGGGGCAGAATCTGATCCTCACATCAAAAATTACATGATACGTGAGAGGACATGGTCAAGTTCACGCTACACCAAACACCACCTTAAGCGTGAAAAACTGAAAACCCTAGTTTTCCAAAAGCCTCTTCTCTGAAGAGTCACGGCTAAACTTTTCACAGTTTCCCTTTGGCTCGCAAAAAAATAGAACGGTACATTTTTTTGGGGCCAAAAATAGGGCAATCCATTAGGATGAGAGGAAGCCGTGCTCTCTCTACACTCTACAGGCCATAGAATTAGAACACGAGAAAAGAAAAGAAAAGAAAAACAAAGAGATACAGACAGGATTAAAAGAGTACAGATATAAAGAAACAGGCCGAGAGACAAATGAAGAAAGAAGAAGCAAGAAATCAAAAGGCATTGTACCCCTATTATAAGTGAGAGATTCAGTCATAGAACACATACCCTCCAACGTTTGAGGCGTTGAATAGGAGCATCCTTCGTTCTTGGAATAACAAATGGATCAGACGAACTTTCTGCGTCGTCATAATCGCAGTGGCTGCTACTTCCGGCCTCAATGTCACTATGGTGACGAGGTGAATTCTTCAAGAGATTCATAGTTCCCAAAACTGTCAGAAGAGATTGTACTGTTATTTTCTAATGCCTTTGTTTTCACACTTCATTCTCAATCGGCAAACCAAATCCACACACAGTTTCTCAATTGGCAAATCCTCCTCGCTTTCAATTTCAATTCTGCAAATCATCAATTTTCTGTTCGAAAATTCAACACTCGCATACCTACTTTCTTGTTTGATTTTGTTAGACACTACTTATTTTTCCCTCCAAAACAATTGGCGGCAATTTCAGTTGCTTCACAGATATTTTCAAGTATGTTATAACCTCTCTAATAGTCTAGTTCAATGACTTCTTTTCTTGTTGGTCAAAAAAAATTTTCTTCTTTTTCTTTTAATTGGTCAAAAAAATGCAACCACAACCGAAATTTCGAGTTCCATGTTTTTTCTCTCCCAGGTCAAATGCGGCAGAGCACGACATGCCGACACACTCAATGAACAGTAAAACAGAGATTTATTAATGCAGTAACACGTAATTATCTAGAACGAAACTAAGGTTTAGAGGAGAAATGATAAGGAAGCAGACAGGAAAAGTAAAATACCCAGAAAACAAGAAGAACGGGCTGATATTCTATTCTGTTTTCTTCCCCTTCGCCTTCTAGTTCTGAAAAACTACATGAAAGAAGCATTAAACACGGTAAAATGTCAATATTTGAAACACATAATTACTTTGGTTGCAAGTTTTGATTGATTTGAAAAATTAATGTTCGATTGAATAATTGATACTAATTGAGTGATTTCTTCGGGCATAATTTGTGGCGATAATTGCTTATACGCGTGGAAATAAAAAATAAGTGGACAAAGGAAGAGTGAATGACAGTCAAGACACATTGCATGCGTGGCTGGGAAAATTATTGACATTTTACATAAAAAAAAAAACAATTATTGACATTTTGCGAAGAATAATAGAAAAAAAAAGACTTAACTTTATAAATTTATTATAAATTTTTCCTAATTAAATTGAAAAAAAATTAATTTTCACGTTATTTTAACTTTTCTCAATTTGAAATTAAGTTCAAATAATTTATTTTTTAATTAAGTTCTTATAATTTAATTTCTTAGATTTATCAATCATGTAAGTTAAAATCCTTGATGTTTACGTTAAAAAATAAATTTAAAACTCTTATATTTTTATTAAAATGTTATATAAATTTATAATTATTAATTAAATAATTTTTATAACTCAAAATTTAAAATTATGTTGTCTTTTAAATAATTTTTATACATATAAAACTTTCATAAAAATTTAATGAAAATATAAATATTAAATTAAATTAATTTTTTACCAGAAGTATTAAATTAAATTTTATATAACTTCAAAAATACTTTATTTTGCTTTGGGAGGAAGGAAAACTAGAAAAAAAAAACTTTTAAAATAATAAAAAAAATTCTAGTTTTAAAAAAATTATAATTTTTTCTGTTATAATTTACTTAGAAGCCATGTAAAACAAAGTACAACTCAATTCTTCTCTCTCTGTTTTTTTTTTTTGGTACAATAAAGATATGTCTATTTGGAGACCATATTATTAGAGTTACAATTCGAGTCAAACTCGACGGGCCAATCCAAACTCGCTAAAAAAAAGTTATGATTAAGCTTGCTTATATGAATATTTTTAAGAGGGTATAATAATTTAAGCCCAATTTAAATAACTCTAACTCAAATGAGCCCAACCCAAATCAACCTAATCATTAAAATTTTCATCTCTATATGTATATAAAATTGGAATTTGGCCCAGTCAGAACTTGGCAAAAAAAATTTGAGATTAAGTTTGACTATATGAGCCTTTTTAAGATATAAGATACTTCAAATTTAATCTAAATTGAGCTCAATCTGCCTGAATTTTACTAGCTCTACATATTATAACCCTTTCATTTTCTTTTAATACAATCTGTGCATGTTTTTGGTTGGGGGTGGAGACAGGCGGTGGGCGGTGGGCGGTGGGCGGTGGGCACGTTAAAAGCATAAGTGCATGAACAAGGGAGGTTGAGGTTGAGGAGCCACGTGGCGCCGTCCACAACGACGTGCGTGATCTTCGTGATTCATGATGTGCATTTAATTAATTGACAGACAAGCCGGAACCAGCTTCAGTGTGAGAGCTCATCTCTTCTATATCATTTAGGTCTAATTTGAATGATATAAATTTACAGTTTTTTACTTTTAATTTTTGAAAAATTTATTTTAATGAATACAGAATTTCAAATAAAAACAACCTCTTACCTGTCAGTTTTTTGAAAAAAATATTTAAAAAATATTTGTTAAAAAGCTATAAATTTAAATCATGTAAATCTAAATTTAAAATAAAGCTGAAAAGTTCAGAGATGATAAGCACTGAAATTGGTTCCCTATAAATATTCAAGCATGATCATAGCCTTTGAATGATAATTTTAATTTAATATATAATTCTGAGCACAAGCAATAGAAAGCCAGTGAAGGTAAAATAATTCATTGAAAAGAACATCTCGCAACTGCTAAGAATCAAGTCCCGACAAATTAAACATACAACGCTTCAAATGACCCTTTTAACTACCTTCCTGATTAGGAAGCCTGTTATAGCTTTGACCACAACGACTCATATGCTCCTTCCACGTTTAAATATCTAAGTAAAGTTTAATAAACTCATATAATTTACGAAAGTTAATTAATTAATGCTAATAAGTAATAATTATGCAGAAATTGAAATGTTTGGACTTAAATGCCCTTTTGATTAATCCTTTATTTCTCTTTAATTAATTTAAATGATGCTATCATTTAATGAAAAAAAAAATGTCAGAAATGCTTCTTCAAAACGGTTGTTTTCTTTATAAAAGCCCAAAAGAAATCACATGGAGGAGTACGAACGAGTTGCTCAAGAGTGATGCTTCTTTATAATTATCATGGTTTTCGCTCAGCTTGTCCAAATCAAGCACAGATAATAGGCCTACTAATGTCCTTTACTTTTTTGTTGGCCAAATTGAAATGTTTGTGTTTTACTTTGATCTGAGTTCGTTATACTTGGAAGGAGAAAGCCCAAACCGGTTCCGCCAAATATAATTTGAACCGCGATATTCTACGTCTGTGTTGTGTGTGTGTATATTATATATCTGAGAACGATTATAAAAATTTTCCAAAAAAAAAAAAGTAAGATTATGTTGATTCAACCCACTACGTTTATCTCTATAGCTATGCAGATTACTGTGTGTGTGGAAGAATCAAGGGAGAATTACAATCCGATCTCACATAAAAAAATTTACTACTGTAAGATTCATTAATAATTGAACTAAATTACACTGACAACTAATTATAACACAGCTAGTCGTCAATGCAGTTTATTTCAATTATTAATGAATAATTAATTTTCTTACTTGGACTTCAATATAATTCTCCCAAGAATTAATATGTACGTACCTTCACAGAAGGAATACACAGGTAAGTAGTTTCTTGAGCTATGTTTATCAACGTCTACAAGCATGCGCAGCGATTGATGTCGATCACAATGGCAACTGCAACATATATCACCACCCAAAGGATTGATCATATCAGATAGCAGAAGCAAACATCTCCTTCACTATATATTTAAAAAAAGCACACCAGAGAATAATATAATCTTAATCGTGCAAGAAAAAGAAAACTGAACCTCTCGAATATATGATCGTGATGAAAGATTTGTTTTCTCTTTTCTCCTGAAGATAGATGAACAGTTTTGAGAGGAAGGAAGTAGAAGATGCCAGACTTCATAACAACGAAATGACTTTTGACCGCACAAAGGCGCACTCAAAAGATAAAGGACCTATTTGAATACTCTTTTAAAATCAATTCTAAGTTTAAAATTATAATTTTAAAAAATTTTATCCAAACATCTCAATTTTTTCAAACTTTATTTGATTTTCAAAACTCTATTTATAATAAGTTGAAATTTATTTTATTTTAAAAAATTAATATTATAATCAATTCTTAAAATTTTATCCAAACACCATCACATTTTAATAATTAATTTTTTTTAGTCAATTTTTTTCAATTAAAATCTAAGTACACCCAAAGTTTGGGGAACATTAATTTTTTATCGTTATGTTAAATTATAATTCCCTTGCTCGTCCCCGTTGTGCCAGAGCCAGTAGAAATTCAACACAGCATGACGCCAAAGGAAAGGAAAGATAGCAAGAAAGCATTTTTGGCAAGTGACTCGCCTAAAAAAGCACCGCTGAGTCACTGAGAGTTTGAATTATTACGTAAACGAACCTTCGTGGTAAAGATTGCTTTTTTGTCATTAAAAATCAAAGGAACCTGAATATATGCACGGAGTCATATCAGGCATATAATATCACAGAAGACAGTCGGTTGAAGAAAGCAAATATACGAAGCTTTAGGTGAACGCAAGATGCTATAAACAATTATTTCTTTTCTGTGTGTGTGTGTGTGTGTGTGTGAGAGAGAGAGAGAGAGAGAGAGAGAGAGAGAGATTTAAGCATCGAACTTCCATGAAACTAATTCCTTTAGCTTTCTGGTTCCACAAGAGCCAAGAAAGGTAGAGATTCCGTCCAGGGGAATCAATATATAGGGAAAAGTCTATCAGATATAGATCTCTGCTCCCCTCGTGACTTTTTAAGTTTAATTTCTTCTTAAAATGGCAGAGTGAAGGAGATTAAAGAAGAAAGATTTCTCGAAGTGGAACTATATGCTTTTATGAGGTGGGTACACATATCGAATATGTGGACTGGAAGTTATTCTCCCCAGGAAATTTCCACGAAGCTTCCTTGTTCACATTCTCTTTTTTTTCATCTCAATGCTCACATGTTCTATCGAGATTTGTTTGTCAATAGTGGGAAATATGGGCTGGGTCTATAAAATATGTTTGTCTATCTCACAAAAAATGAAAGAGCCCGGTTTCAAAAGAATGAATTCTAAATATGAAAACAAGCTTTTTCCAGGTTGGGATTTATGAGCAGAGGGGGTTCAACAAGTTAGCCCATGTGTTTTTTTTTTTTTTTACAAAGAAAACTAACTTAAACTAAATATATTCTACTTGATTATAATATATCATAATAGTTTATGAATCAATTTCAATAGTTGATATTTTAATAAACCAAGATTAAAGATCGTCATTGAGGACATGATGATTAGAATTTGAATGGTGAGGATTCCAATGTTATCTTCAAGTTATTAGGGCCTTGCGAAAAGGTTTTGAGGTTTAAAACGAAATTATTAGCAAGACCCGGTATGTATAGTTGCTTCTTCTCTTTAAACCAAAAAAAAAAAAAATCTATTCATATATCTTTTTTTTAACTTTTTGAGCTAAAAAATTATATATTAAAGCCTTGTGATCAAATAATTCTCATAAAAAATCAAATTAATTTGAAAGAGGAAGATGTGAATTGTTTCTAATAAAGCATTAAATATTATTAACATTGATATGGAGTGCCAATAAATTTTCAACCAAAAACTACGTAAATAAAATTGATATCAATGAGGTTTGTCAAAAAAAAAAAACAATTGATATAAATGATAAATGAAATAAAAACCAAATAATAATTATATAAACTATAAGTAAGGTTTTGATGAGGTCTAAGGCTCTTGCCTTAATGGCCTAAAGCCACACACACGGCTATGTAAATTATAAATTGTACAAATTATTATATGACTTCATGACCTAATCGTATGTGTATCATTTATCTTTGGGATCTTTGGTGTCGGGGTGTTGTTATTTTATTTCTGATCCTTATGTTGCAATTTTATCTAATATCTTTATTCATATTTCATGTTTAATTTCATATTTTAAACTTTAAAAAAAAATGGCAGGCTTTTATGGGTTGTCCCGTAAGACCATATGCCAAGGGATTTGGGCCTATTGAGTTGAGCAGCCCATTTAGAAATTAAGGGTTAAAAAAAAAAAGGTGGACGCCCAATTTCATATTGATGACCAAGCTCATACTATTTATCTCCTACTTAACCCCCTTTATGAGCTTGTTCATACAATTTGCAGTTCTTTATTTTTTTAAAAAAAAAATGAAACTTGTAGATGAACAAATAGGCACCTTGGAGTCTTACATCAGTCATATAATTATATAGTTTTTAAATTGCTTCTTATATAGTAGAAATTGGATCTATATAAATTGTAATCACACAACCTGACAAGAGAAATGAGCATTGCAGTGATTAAAAAAAAGAAAAGAAAAGAAAAGAAAAGAAAAAACTGCTCCCTCTTTTCATTAAAAAAAAAAAACTCCTCCCTCCCATTCATATTACTCCCATATCCTAATTTATAAGATACTTTTTAAAAAAAAATTAATATCACAAATATAAGATATTTTAATAAAATTAATATTTTATTAAATAGACTTATTTAAACATTATCTTCTCTCTCTATTAAGTGAATAATTGTAGATTTAAAATTATATTAAATGAATGAGTATTTTTAAATGTTCATGTTTATATTTTGAAAACATAAGATTATAAAATATATTCAATGATTTGTATCGTTATGTGAGATTTTGTCAAAATTATTTTATAATTTAGGACAAAAGAAATATAATGGTTACAGATTTTTATTCTTAATGATCTTATTAAATATTAATGATGAGCCATCTCGAAAATACTGGAAAGGAGTGAATGTAATCTATAACGATTTTTAGTAGAAGTGAAACTGTAATCTTTAGGCTTTTCAGACAAATTTAAATAATAAAAATATCTTATAATAAGGATGGAGGGAGTGCACGAATATGTGACTTTAACCACTTTATGTATTGGGAAAATTTTAGTGAGGATCTTTTGATCTAACTTAATTATAATCAAAACTCTTAAAATTTTAAATTCTCTCTTTACCCTATAAATCAGACTAGAGGAATACTTGATAATTTTGATTATTTGTAATTGATAACAATAATTTTATCGTAGGGTTAGTGTAATTGACTATAAATTTGATATTTACAGTAAGAATATAATTAAATATTGTCTAAAATATTTTTTTCATACATAATTTCTAAATTTTATTATTTTAATTGAAACCAGTTGAATCATGGTCTAACCACAATTCAGTAAACTAATACCCTGACCAATTTAATACCTACTCCAATTCTAAAAACATTGGTAAAGACATTTCCTCTGTCCATTTAAATTCTTAGAACTTGTTGATATTGGAATGCCATGATAATCAAGACATTGAAATCAACCGAAGAAATTTTTTTAATTCAGCATAAATTTAATATATCAAGAATTATATATAATATCTAAATTTATTTATGTATATATGTACGTGATTGGCCAAAAATATATACTATGTATGTGTATATATATTGATTAATGATCAACGTTTGAATCATATATAGTATCTAAATTTACATGAATCCAACTTTTCTATATTTAGATTATTTATGGAATTTGAGAGTAATTATGTTATTAATATTTGCAACCTAATTATCATTAATTAAATCATTTAGAATTTTTTTACTGATATTCTCCATATGTGTGTGTGCATACATAATTTGATATATTTTCAAATATGGGACAATATCATCTAAGGACCGTAGACGTAATATATTTTCAAATCCGATCCAACATAATTTGAAATTCCACAGCAGAATAGTAGGCCTAAAATTAAAATTTAAAATAAAATTATCAAAGGCCTAAAAATGAAATTTAAAAAAATGACCAGAATATCCTTTTAGTATGTTGCAAAACAGAATAAGTAACATAATGGAATTAACAACTAAAGTAAATCTCTTAACAATAATGTAATTGATATTACAAGTTTATACAGTTGGCAAGTAATGCAAGGGACTGGATAAGTAAAGTTAAAGAATTAACAAATCTTCTTAAAGATTAGTAACCATATTAACTACAATGCATTAAACATGACAAGTAATACAAGAACATTAATAAGTAAATTAAAGCTTTTGACAAGTCATGGAGTCGATTTTGTAAGTTATAATAATAATTTCACAAGTAACAAATTTAAATCATTACATGAAATTCTATTGTTAATCAACTACATTACTCGTTGAAAGTTTTATTTGACTTGTTAATTATTGAGAAAATATAATGTTGAGTGGTTACGTTTTACTTGCATTTTGTTATTGATCCCTATACTTTTTTTTTAGTGTTTTAAGTCCCTACATGAACAAAGTTTAAAGACATTAAAGGGATCTAAAACAATAAAAAATAAAAGTATGTGAATCTAAAATAATGAAAAAAAATACAGAGACTAATAACAAAACGTAAACAAAATATAAAGACATAAAGTTATATTTTTCCTTAATTCTCTTATATTACTTATTATTCCGTAACATCCTAGAAATGTGATATTTCATTTTGTTTTTGAATCTTTTTTTTTTTTATTGTTCAAGCCTAACATGGAAATTTCATATTGCATTGGACTTGATTTAAAAATATGTTACATCTATTATCATTAGATAAAATTCTCCCCAAACACGCACGCATAAAGGCTTGGAGCAAGACATTTCTTGTGTAGATTTTCTAGTTTAAGTTAGTATACTTTTGAGAATTTGTACATAAAAGTGTTGTTGCAAGGCACTACTAGAAACGCAGCTCTCTATTATTATTTTTTTAAGTACAATATATTGAACGTTTATGGCCATAATCATTCAACATATAGTTTCATATATTAGATGATTATAAAAATAACTGTCCAATAAATTAAAAATCTTCCTTTCCAAAATCTCATACGTTTTACTTCATATTGAACATTGTCAAAGAACCATTTAGTATTAGTTTTTAAATAATGGATAATTCTAATAACCAATGTTTGTTTTGTGAATATATAACGATCACATATTCATTGCACAATAATTAACCATCCAGTATATAAGCAAAAACAACTATTCAATATAACTAATTTTGCAGTAGTGATCCATAAAGATATTGTCATTCTAGAGACTTCTCATGTGTACAGAATTATAAATCCAGATGTACGAAAAGGGCTTTAGACTTGTATAGTCCATGTTGTTTCCTTGATATTTCTTATTTCCTAGTCTCAAGGTGAGAGTTGTTGGTGCAAATTCAAAATGCAGTAAATTCTTTATTTTTTTTATTTGCATTATCTAATAAAACAATTTACTTCCTTCATCCTAAATTATAACATACTTTTAAAAAAAAATTTAACATTCTAAAATACAAGACACTTCAATAAAAATAAAATTTCATTAATGATATTTTTTACAATATTACTCTTCTCATATATTTTCTCTCTTTAATATTTTTTTAACAAATAAAGTGTTAAATTAAAACTGTTTTTAAAAGTTTATATTTTTATTTTTTAAAAAATAAAATTATAAAGTGTATTTAATAAATTTTATTAGCATGTATAAGGTATTAAAAACTGGACCAATCATTGAACCAATCAAGACATTGGATCACAAGCTAGTGGTCTAACCAAGATTAAACCAAAAGCCAAAGCGAGAGCAAAGCAATCATAATTAAAATAATATAACTTAAATAAAAAGATCTTAATTATAAAAAATTCATCCATATTCAAGATTAACGTATCATAAAGGATACAAATACAAAAAATGATGCTAGAGCCATTTTAGTGCTTTATGAAAGCACATGGGAAGTTGCATCCACTAATTTTAGAATTATTTATGACTGAAGATTGTCAAATATGCAAGCATGCATCACAAGAAAGAGTTTTGAAATACTTAAGCTAAGATGCAACACCACTGGTTTCAACAGAATGGTATTTCTGAGGCTTGAAATTTTTAGTTTCTTTAGTGGCGACAAATAATTCATAAATTAATACGGAAATTGAATTTCATTTGACATGTCAATCTGGAAAGGGATAAATAACACCAAGCTTTTAAGAAGTTATGGAAGCCACCCTTGCATGGTGGGATCGATCGCCCCTGCTCTCAGATATTCAATTCTTTCTCTCTTTTATTCTTTTCTTTTTCTTTTCAATTCTTCCTTTTTTAAGAAGATCCCAAAACGACAACGTCTTGGGGCTTTGGCCAACATAATAATGATGATAATAATAATAATAATAATAATAATAACCCGGCTGGTGGGTTATACTTGAGTTGCCTTGGTTAATCCGAAACAACCCTGCCATAGTTCACCTCATAAACCGGAGTGAACAATTGACCAATTCACATGGTTATTAGTTGCACCAATTAGTCCGGTCCTATCCTCCAGTTTATAGATATGTGTAATTTTATCTAAATATTTTATAATTTAAAATGAAAAAAGTATCATTTTATTTCACATATATGTCCTCTGATTTAAGACTAGATAATCTAAACGAGTCAAGAACATAGATTGGAGTTACAAAAGTTGATTCAAAAATTCTATCACAAGGGTTGAGCCGATTGAAAAAAATATTCACTCATATAAAAATGAATATTTTTTGATTCAAATCAAATAACTTGTGATTCAAATGAGTTGATCCATTTAACCCATATTATTTTATAAAAAATAAAAAACAAAAATTGGAGGAAGTTTTAACATCAAAACCCAACAAGACAAATAAATTTTGGAAAAAACCATGATGAAATTAATCAAATCTTATATATTTATTATGTAAATTTTTTAAAATGCATGAAATATTATAATAGAACTTCTCATTTAAGTATACTGTTTTTAAAAAAATTATAGAAAAATAATAAATAAGTTGGTGAGTTAAGCCATTTAATCTACCAACCCATAAGAGTTAGGTTAGGTTGGATTGGGTTGAAATTTTTTCAATCTATATAAAAATAAATTGAACTCAATTCAACCTATATATTTTCCTCAAGCCATATGATTCAGATTAGCCCATATATTCAACTCTATCTTGTTTAAATCACAGTCAAGCATTAAATATAAACACATTTTTTTAAAAATATTAATTTTCAAAATACTTCCTACCATCCTTTTATAGGTATTAATTACCTTTTTTCATAAATATCCTTAATTATATGGAAAGAAGTCAATATTAAAATAAATTAATAAACTTAAACAAGGAATGGAGATTATGTAAAGTGAATGAAAATATGAACATATTCAATGAGAATAACAAATTTAATTAAAATAATATTTTTTGTCTTTAACATTACTTTCCATAAATTAAAAAAAATGAAACAAACAATTAATTATGAATTGCTCATGAAAGTTATACTTGATATAAGAAGTTGTAAGTAAAATTTTGATAAATTTGAACCATATCTGATGTTAATTTAAACATGCAAGTTAGATTGTTTTGATCATAGGCACAGGCTTCTTCTCTCCCGCAACCCACAATGAGAGTGTTAACAGTGGCCAAGGTTTAAAGACTTAAAAGGTTCTCTCTCCAATCTTTAACATTTAAAAAATAATAATAATAACTTTATGCTTATTAAAAAATAACAGTTATATTTGGACTGCATAAAAGATTGAACAGGACTGAATTTAAGCTTAACCCGAAGTTTGATCTCTTTCATAAAAAGAACTGAATTAGGTAACCCGTAGTCTGATCTGGTTCAATGATAATCTAAAAATTAACAGGATCGAACTTAATCCACAGGATTGAAAGACTGGTCTTGTTAGTCCAATACTCACTTAGATTTTTTTCCTTTTTCCTCTATGAGAGGCAATAATCAATTTCAATCTAATAAACTCAACTAAGATAATTAAAACACTTATAATTATAATAAATCCATAATAATTTCTAACAACAAGAAAAAATATTTCAATTATAATCCAAGTGGTCCAGGTTATTAAATTATTAGTCTGAATATGCAACTATGCGAGGAACCAAACTTATTAAATTATTATTAGTCTTAATTTATAATTATAAATAATTAGTAAATTAATTATAATCATATTAAATAAATTTAATAGGATTAAATTGAATTAAGTGATCCAAATGTCCAGTTTCCTTTCTAATCTAATCCAAAAAAATAATTTGATCTTTTTAATTTTTGTAATCCTGAATAACCAGTTTTTAATAAGACAGGATAAAACCAGACCTTCTCGAGTTAGAATGGGTCAAACAGGATTAGAAAATTTCTGCACAGCCCTAGTTATATTTTTGAATTGATAAAAAATACATAATATTTCAATTTTGCTCTTCTTTTATTCAGTCGATCATAAAGGAAAAGGAAAAAAATTTAAAAAATACATAATATTTCAATTTTGCTCTTCTTTTATTCAGTCGATAATAAAGGAAAAGGAAAAAAAATTAAGAAAATATTAACCACTTTAACTTTCGCTTGCGTGATGTACGAGCAATATTTTCTCCACTTGTCCATTTTTATTATGCCTAATCAAAATGAAAGGAGGGACAAGACTCTGTGTGTGTGTGTGAGAGAGAGAGAGAGAGAGAGAGAGAGAAAGAGTAGCGTACCTGGTCGGGGTAAAGCAAAAGGTGGCGAAGAGATGAGCAATCCTGTGTTGAAGATAGCGGGTGATAGACGCAACCCAGAAAAACAAAACACAGCAGCAATAATGGATCTCAAAAGCCACAGTGAAAGCTCCGTCTCAGAAGAAATCGCACCTTTGCTGATTTATTAGCTTCATTTCTGCAAAAATAATGCTCCTCCATACAGCAGAGGCGATAGCACAGCCAAAAATATATACAATTGCCGGCTCAGTGAGCATCTGTCTGAACTCTCATGTCACCATTCACGAAACTTCCAGGAAATTCTATATATATATATATATATTTTCATAAACAAGTGTGACTCTTAAGTGTGGAGATGATAGTTAAGCCGCAAAATATTAAATTAATATTAATTAAATTTTTGATAAATTTTTTTAAAAAGTTAAAAATATTAATTCAAATTATTATAAATTTAAAAATTTTAATTACAAATAAATATTAAATATAATTTTTAAATTGTTATAAAAAAATTTTATTTATATCTGTTTGAATTAATATTTATAATTTATTTTATCAAAAATTTAAATGTCATTAAGCTATTCATTTAGAATTTAATTGTCAGGTAATCTTCTCGAGGTCATCGTCAGGTATTAAAAAGCATCTCTCCTGTGACCCGAAGTCTAATTTTTTAGAGATGCTAACTTGACCAAACATAATCCGATTAGTTATTATATTTTCTTCTCTTTTTTTTTTCAAATTTAAAAGGTAATTTGACCTTTAAATTAAACATCTAAAAGCTTCTGAAATTTTAAATTTATTTTTGATCTACTGTCGTCTCTGCTATTAACCAATGTCAAATAATCAGGTAATGACATTAAAAATTATCAAAAAAAATTTTAATCATTTACTATTATTTTTTATTTTTTTGTTATTTTTTATCACTAACTATGAAAGTAAACTTTTGTTAATGAAAAGGCAATATTACTCTTTTTTTTTAAGTTAAAAAAATATTAAAAAATTAAGTTTAGAGTCGCCTCAACAAGACAATAACCCTTTTATTTAAAGACTTTTAAATTGTTCTCGAAATTTCTTTTGCCCCCTGACCAACTCCCAAGCTGACTGCAATTTCTTGGTCCAATTCGCCAGCAATTTCTTTTATTTGTTTCCAAGCTACTGAGAAAAAAAATAGATCGCTCTTCTCTCGATCCCAGTATTATATTTACAAACTTGACTGGGCCTTGTAAAGTAAATGAAATTCAAGAACAGAACGTATTATTAATTTGAAAAAATATATTTTTTTGATTCTTATACTTTGCTCGTGTTTTGTCATAAGTTCTTGTATTTTTTTTTTATGTTTTGGATTCCTATATTTTTATTTTATTTTTTAATGTTTTAAATTTCTAAATGAATAAAATGTAGAGATCCTAAATTGAGCATATTTTCTTATATATTATGTTTTTGGCCTGATTATATAGTATGTGAAGTTTAACTATGAATATTGATTTATTGATAAACAATATGCTATGCTTCATCGTCGATATATTTTTTAACCCTTTGGTTAATTCAACGGCTTCTATTTACTATTACTCAAAAAAACAAAAAATCCCGACATACATGCCGGGAATATAGGTACGAAGAAGGAAATTGTGAGGACAAAATTTTACTAGTTCAAGTGGGAAATTTCGTTTTTGATCTTTTTACTTTTATTTATTTGTCTTTTTACTGAAACAAAAACATTACATACTCCTTTCTCTTATTCTTTATTTAAGTCACATTATATAATATTTTAATGGTCCAAAATTCAAGTTATTTTGTGAAAGCTAACAAAGTATTAATTTTTTATTTCAAAATATTCTTCTTGTCAATTTCAGGAGCAGCGATAATTTTTCTTCAAAAAATATGGTATTTATTAGAGATAAAAACAAGGTTAATCAACATCATAAATTTTAAACTATTGAGTGAATAACATTTTGAATTTTGAATTCTTAAAATATATAAAATTTTCTTCAACTTCTAAATTTCAAACGCCTGATGTAGTATTCATGTTAATCTTTTAAAATAACAGTTATTTTCTTCAACTTAATGATAAAATTTTAGATATTTAAAATTTTAAAATTGAGGGGAGTTTTTAACATTTCAAGACTTCAAGATCCAATATATAACTTGTATAATAATTTAAAGTTTAGAATGCTCATTAATTCATAAAAATAAAAATTAAAGCAATTTATTTATAAATAAATTTAATTTAATAATATAACTATCTTAATTTTTATTTTGACAAAATAGTAAAAAATAACTAATTAATTAAGGACTGCTCACCTAAGGAGGCTAGTATCGTGAAATAACGGACAAAAGGGTGTGCTTTTCCCTTATTTTCCATTTTCCTCGTTTTTCAATTCATCAGATCAAATCTTTTCAATAATTCAGATTTAATTTTTGATAAAAATTACTATTATTATCTTACATAAAATATATAAATAAAATATTATAGTTTTGAAATGTTTAGATCATATTTTAATAATTTAAATTTATTTATATATTTTTATAAAATAACTCTTGCCTTCATCAACTGAATCACTGACATGTGGACATATATTATATATGGGAAAATTATACATAGATTTCATAGAGTAAATTTATTTACAAATAAGTTTTACAAAATTTAAAAATTACAACTAAGCTCCTTAGGCTCTAAGTATAATTTAAAATTGGGATAAAAAATAAAAATATCCCTATTAAATGTAGATACATTACATCAGTCAGATAATTTATAATTACTTTATCAGTAATTTACAGCTATAATTTCAATTTTTTATAATTATAACTTCACATATTTAATGATTAAACTGATAGATTACCAATAAAGTAGTTGTAAACAATTAATATTAAATTTTGTTAGTAATATATAACTATTTAACTATTGAATATATGAAGTTATAGTTGTAAAAAGTTAAAATTATAGTTGTAAATTATTGATAAAGTAGTTGTCAATTAATTATTTAATTGATATAATGTATGTTTAATAAGGGTATTATTATTTTTGTAACCTAATTTTAAATTACATTTAAATCCTAAAGAACTTGATTATAGTTTTTAAATTTTACAAAATTTATTTATAAATAAGCCTATTTTATAAGATGTATACGTAATTTTTTCATTATATATTCTCTAATATTTACGAACGAGACATTTTTTATAAGTTATTATATTGTTAATTCGAATAAGACATTTTGTAGTTTTAAAATTTTTTTTTCATTTTTATCCTTGTATTACTTAAGATGTGCAGAGTAATTAAAAAAATAATAATAAAATTTATTTAAAATATATAAATGATAATTTGGTTTCTCAAAATATCATAATTTTTTTAAATTTTTTGAGACTTTTCTATCATTAATAAGTTTATATAAATTATTAAATTGTCCTTGTTAAAAATAAATTATTTATAACTTTTCTTTTTATATTTACAACAGTAAATAAGAAATTTAATATATAAAGTTATGATTTGCTATTACATTATTGTGAATATAAGAATAAAAATTATGAATTATTTATTTTTAATAAAAATAATTTAATAATTTATATAAATTCGTTAACAATAAAAAATTTTTTAAAAATTTCATATATTGAACCAAAAACACAACTGCCAATCAGAATGGCACAGGAATTTTGTGGGTCATATTAACCTTTGATAGAAAAAGTACTTCCTCCCTGACTAAACTCTTTTTTTAATACCTTATTCAGAGTTCTAGAATGGTTTTATAAAATATATATTTTTATATATAATCTTATTTAATAATTTTTTAACTTTGAGATTGAGAGTGCGAACTCGTGGCTTGACTCGTGAAAGCAAAACACCTTCACCACCAAGCCACAGGGCTCACCTGGCATAATTTTTTAACAAAAAACAAAAAACAATTTTTAAAAATATAAAACAAACAAGCCCTTTAGTCTCGGCATGATTTTTACAATTGGATATTATATTTAGGAACAAAGAGAGTATGAGTTTAATAATTAATTAATTTCTTGTAAATTTGGGGAATTATAGCTACACACTTAAATTGTTAAATTTGTGAGTTTAAGTAAATTCGTAGTAGAAATGTAAACTTGAATTGCAAACTCGAATCGTAAACTTAAAAAAATTTATCTCTATTAATAAATAAACCATTAAAAATTTATTATTAAATAAATAAAATATAAAATATGATCATAATTTAATTTAAGTTTATTTAAAATATAAATCATTAAAATTAAATACATCTACATTAATAAATTATCATATAAGACAGAGAAATTTTAAAATAGAAAAACTTATTTTTAATATTTTTCTGTTTTTTATTAATATTTGTTTTTTTCTTTTTAAGTTTTTTTTTGTTTGAATCAGGCTCTATAACTTTTATGAACTAAATTCTTCATAATATAACTTGCTCAACTTGAAAAAAAAAAAAATCAATAAGCTTATGTCTATTCTAAGTTTATAAATTAGTAGATATGATTTTGTAAACTAAAAACATAAAAATGATAAACTTGAATGTAAATTTACAATTTTAACTAAATTTGTATTTAATTTAAATTTATAAGTGAATTGAATATAAAAATATTAAATTTAGAGAGTCAATTTAAAAGCTTAACAACTATTAGCATATATATGGAATATCGTACAATTTCACAAGCCTTCCAAGCTTCCATTGAATGTCTCCCTTTGAAATTGGGACTCTTTTAAAGTTTTTATATTTACTCAAATCAATTTCATCCAAAATTATCCTTTCTTTAAAGCTATCAACAAGATCAAATATCTGTTTTATAAGAAACTATACAATAACTTTCAACTGTATCTTTAGAAAAGTAAATAGACATGTAGAAGACTTTTAATAATAGCTTCAACACTATGATTTTTGTTGATCTATCTATAGATTGCAGACGCCTTATGTGTTTTGACATAAATTAATTGTTGTACCTTACACGGTTTACGGTTTCCTTTTCTTTTATCTTTTTTTTTTTAAAAGGCCTTTTCCTTGTGTATAATTTTCTTAAAAAAAAAAAAGGTTAACTCTATGAAAAGACGTTCAAACACATGCTGAGTTTATCTCCAGGCGTCACTTTGTTATTATTATTATTATTATTTATAACACAAGGATTAGACTCTACTGATAATAGAAATTATCTTTTTGAGATATTTGAGATAAAAGATAAATTTCTCTCGACTGATTTGCTATATATATAAGAGCTGAGACTCAAGCTCCCAACAAGGTTGGATACAAAGGGGGCAAGCAGGGGTGTTTCCTCCCTTCACAAATTTTTTTTTTTAAACTGCTTTATTTTTATTTGTAAAAAAATGTTAAAACTAATTTTTGTTCCCCGCGCTATTAAACAATTTTGTATTTTGGCATCCCATAGAGTTGCTTCTCTGTCTGTCCCTATCCTCAACTGCTTACTCAAAACGACGAAAGCGTCCTGCCACTCACACAGGCACGAAGCAACGTTGCTGTAAATTGAAGGCTTCAGCAAGGAATGGTACAAGAGTGACACTGCATCCATCTGAACGTTAGTGGGCTCCACTACTCTCTCTCTCTCTCTCTATCCTTTTCTCTTCACTATTTATATATAATTTTTTATATGTTTAAACCGAAATAAAATACATAATTTCACAGTTTATTAAAAGTGTTGTTCTTTATTAAATATTCACTTGTAAAAATAGAAGTAATTGTTAGTATTAATGTTCTACACATTTTATTTTTCAATTAAATTGGCTGGAAGTTGATAATTTCTGCATTTGTAAAATTATTTAAAAGAAAGATTAAAAAATAAAAATTAATATATATTAATTTTTAAAAATCCCACCCAACAAAAAAATTGGTAATTGCTAAAAATCTGCCCCAACACTTACGTCAATTTTAATTAATAGGCACTCGATGTCTTCTTTTCAAACATCCATTTATTTATGTATCTTGTCGCGATGAAATTACCGAGATATTTGCTGTACTACTCGATTTCGTCAAGGAAATCACCACGCTATTTTTTTCCCCCTTCTTTCAGAAGAAAAAGGACACTTTTTTAGTATTTTCTTACTTGTTAGTTTCTATTTTCAATATCAACGCAGCAATAATGTCATCATCTGACAAGCACATGAATCCCCCCGCATGTGATGTTTCTAGACAAATTAAAATTATTGAGGACTGAGGAGTGTAGTATTTGCTTAGCCTTTAAGTTTCAATCAATTTTTTTGGCCAATTTAGGTGTCAAACAATTGGACCAAGACAAGTTTACAATAATAATTCACAATAATAATATAAGGATGGGCCATGCGAACAATGATATTCAAATTCAAATTGAAGCAGAAATTCTGCAATCATCTGGTTTCTTGGTTTCCTTATGAGGTCTTACAATTTTATTCATTTTATTTGAATCCCCTCTACTTTATGTTGTATATGTGTCAAAAGTGTGTGTTTGTCAAAATTTCACATTGACTAAAGGAAGAAATCTCCTAGTGTATATATACTAAGGAATGAAGTGGGCTAGTAAAATGGGCTTGGAGGAGAAGTGGCCTCGTGCACATGAGACAGGCCAACTCAGGGCAATCGCAGTTGAAATCAGCCGATTCACCCCCCTGCGCGCGAGTTCAAGAGGCACTGGGTTCCTTTTATCGGGTTATTTTTACAAAAAAAAGGTTAAATAAATAATTATTTTTGCTTACCCGACGCCAAACGTCTCCAGATTGAACGCTGAACGTTTTCGGATTAATGGACGTGCATGTTTCTGCTGTTTAAGGCGTGTAACTGAAGCATTAATCCATGAACGTTTGTTGTTTAATGTGTGTATAACCGAAGCATTAACTGGTAATTGTAACCCAACGTTTGTGTCTCAATCCTCAGCCTATAAATAGACATTGGTGCGGACAGAACAGAGAGCAAGCATTCTCGTCCTCTCCTCTGATCTTCTGTTCGTCTGTTTTTGTTCGTTGTCTTCGCTGTTCTATTTCCTTGCTCCGCCACAGGAAGTGCTCGTTTAATCCTGGGGGACTGCCGGTCCACCGCTCAGGTGTACCGGAATAGTTCTTAAGGACAGTGTTCATCCGGACACGACTCGAGCAATTATTAGCTCGCTGTTCACCTCTGCATTTGCTGTTTACAGCACTTTAATTTTCTTTTCCTGCTCTCTCATTTATACAAATATAAAAGTATTCTTTTAATTAATTTAGATCGTCAACTTGTAGTTCTATACAAAAAATATAGAATATGAGACCATTGATCCATTCATAGAGGTCTTGTTCGTTTAATTGCATAAATGCTTCATGGAAAATCACGAGCATTTGTGGAAATTCCTCTCGTCAATGGCAGAAATATCCAAAGTCTCTCATCACATGTTGGAAAAGTTGCATACAAATATTTTTATATTTCTTCAAAAGTAGAATTCTTATAAATTTTAGAATTGTGTGTGTGTGTGTGTAAACGCGTGTGACTAGAAAATTTGGAATTTTAATTTTTTTAGTATCTTTTAACATAATTTAATTTTAAATTTTAAAACTTGTGAGTTCTGAATATAGATGCTGTTTGATTTAAAATTATGAAATGAATTTTTTTTAAATAATCATCAACACATGAATATTAATTATTATAAAATATAAAAAAATAAAGAAACCTCCATTTCAGATTTCGTTGGCGTAGTAATTTGATTTACACCAATAACTTGTTGATTGGGAGAAGGATTGTTTAATATTTTTTTCCCTCTTAAAGTAGGATGTCGAGAAAACAGCGTACATGATAATGATAATTTTTTGAGAAATTTTCATGACTTGTCAGAGAAAAATGTAATACACAGTATCTCCTCTATTGCATCACTTGACCCTTAAATAAGTTGTCGATATTAGTACTATAATTAATTGATGTTATAATGATTTTAAAGAATAGTAAACATACTATTATCATTATAATATTTATATTATACATAGCCCTTGGGCCAACAAGTAGAATAGAATTTGAAATCTTGTCCTTTTCTATTGTGAGAATAATTTTTACGAGAATGAAAAATATTGCATTACAAGTTTTTGCACCAGTTATCATCATGTAAAAATAACCACATCATGTGATAATTTTAATTTTAACTTTATTTATAAACATGATCTCTCTCATGCTCCCTCCAATCTACTTTATTGATCACTTTCTAAAAGTATAAAATGATTCATTTTAAAAGTTATTGAATTAACAGTGATATTTTATTTCGAATAAAATATCTGAACTATCCTTAAAAAATAAAAAAAAGAAAAAAATAATATAATATAATTTATTTATTTTTTAAAGGTTATGTTTATAATTTTATTAAATTTTATTCCCCATACTTTTATTGTATGAGTATGAATGAGAATGATAAAAATAACTTATAAATAAGACCAAAGAAAGTAAGAGCCAATCTTATAAATTTATCTCATGAATTTGACAGTCTTAAATATAGGCTGCAAACCAGGGCTTAGAAAAGGAAATAATGCACTTTTAAAGTGAAGATGATACATCATAAGAATGCATTAAGCAGAACACGAAGATCTGTGAAAGTTGCCTGAAGTGACGACGGTACAACAACGTAGGAAAATTTTCATGGCAACACCATACTTAGCATAGTGCTCCAAAATAATAACCAGTGTATTCTTATCCAAAACCAAGAGCAAAAATAATTGGAAATTTCCCTGCAAAGAACAGAACCACATGCCCCATGGTCATTCCTCATCATCAGAATAATTGAACTTAATTGAGTGGGATTGTAAATCTATCTGCCCTCCTCTGTAACTCCCACGCTTCTTCTTGGTCTTCTCATGACGAAAATCCCTGTGGGAAACACACGAGTTCGATGTCACGGGGTTATTAAACGTGAAAAAAGTGTAATGACACCACTAAACGGTTAAAACACAGGTTCACCAGAATGCTTATATGGTTAAGTAAATTTCTTGAAGCTTGTCTTGTCCATCCGGATAACATACCTTCCTCTAACCTGGCTAAGAATTTCTTCAGCTTTTGCACCATAACCCAACTCAGCACCATCCTGCGGAGAAAATACATCATTACTTCCTTGTTTGTTTGAAACTTCGCCAAAGAAAATTCAAATTCATAGACATACTAGTTAACTTATCACACCTTTGCCCAATAAGAGTTATCCTGAAGCCTCTCATCAGCAAATTTTATCTTCTCAATGTTGACCCGTTGAAATGGCTTTGCTGATTTTGGCTGCAATGAGAGTTCCGTATGCTTAAATAGTTAAATTTAATAATAAATCACAAGTATTGAATTGACATCAAAAATATAAATTCGTGTGTTAAATTTTTCAAAACATTCAAACCAAAGCTTAAACAAAATTATGGAAAATAGAAATCCAACCAAGTAAATGGAAATCTTGTCTAACCAATTTCATGGGACAGAAAATCAGTTGTGTCTCAAACATATATAAAGTTGGATTAAATTCACTTCCGATGAAATGTTTATAAAGATTCATGATTGCAACTTTGTAATTTACTTCATTTTAAGAGATAAAACAATCCATCTGAGAAATTCCTTAACCCTTCTACTCTTTATATAAAGTTGGGCAGTGCTCTAATATTCCACAAAGAACACATTTACCTAGTAAAATGATCGTGCTAACACAGAACAATTGCTCTGGCAGGAACAGTACAAAAAATGTATCCCACAATGAAGCAAAACTAGGAGAGACATGGCAGTCAACCTTTGAGCATGTCCATTAGCTTACTATATAACAGCAGTGTGATTATAACATACCTCGATTGAATCCTGTTTCTTCCGAGACTTCTTCTCAGAAAAGTTTTTATTAGTCCCATTTGTCTCCCCGTTATGTTCACCGGATGTCTTCAGTGTCTGATCACGACCATCTTGACCAATTGCCCCAATAGTTCCTTTATTAGAATTTGAATCACTCCCCATGTTTGCAGTTGTTTTTGCTGACTGCTCTCCTTCCTTGGATTCTTTGAGATTGTCTACCTTTCTGCGCTTGGGGTCCTCATCTGCCTTTTTATCAGCAAGTTGTACATTATTTTCTTCAGAAGTCAGTTTTTTCCTTTTCTTAGAATCTTTCTTCTTGCCTGTCACATCATTATTTGATGCTTCAAGATTATCCATTTTTGAAGTATTTTCAGTGGGATCCCCTGTATGTAACTCTTTTGCATCTCCATCACAACTCGGCTTGTCTTTCTTTGTCTTTTTTTTGTCCTTGGATTTCTTCTGTGTCTCAGCACCTTTCGCTTCTATAAGCATAGACTCTGATTGTAATTGGTCATTCTCCACACTGTTAGTAAGAGATTCAGTTGCTAACTTGCTTTTTTTCCTTTTTTCCTCATTCTTTTTGTCAGTACCCTGAAAGAGTAATTCAGAAAATTCTACGTTAACAAATTCCTTTAACTTCCTTATACTGATATGGTCATTTCGTTCATTCACTATAAGAATTAGGATATCATTTTTCTTTACCTTATCTTTTGATACAGGGTTTGAGCCATTTGTTTTCTCCCCAGAGTCCATCGAACCCTTTATATTTTTATCTGATCCAGGCTGATAAACAACATGATCACCATCACTCTTGTCCTTCTTTTTCTTTTTCTTTTTCTCAGCATCATTATCCATACCAGCAACCAAAGGATCATCCACATCTTTTTTTGAGTGCTTACCAGCAGCTAGTAAGTAGTACAAATGCCAATGTAAGCATCTATTTGCAAAGGAAAATGAAGGAAAGAGTGAAATAACCATGCAAAGGAAAACTTGGCCATGAGACCAAATTTTAAGTATACCTTGCTCCTTTTGGCAATTGGTATTTGTCTTAGCATCCTTACAACTGAAAAAAGATTTAACAGAGAACAAAGAAAAAGTTCAGTTAACATGTGTAAATTGAGACAAATATTCAAAGAAGCTAATTGGTGCAGCAACAATGAAACTGCCTCTTCCTACTTATTATAAGCCTGACTTATGCGTACAAGGACCCAAAAGCAACACCAAATGGTGGCCATGGTGGCCACTTACACTCTGTTTCAGACTAAATTGATGCCATACTTTACGTTTTGGGTACTCAGTAGCATAAAACACATCTGCACAAGATATATTTGCTTACAAGAATATTAGCTTGTTCATGAGACTAAAGATCAGAGCCAAATCTTGCCATAAATAAAATCTATTTTTGGATTAACAATAGAGACCACTTGAAGCATCAGCCCCTCAGTGGCGGCTTTGCAGAAGAGTTTATAAGCCAGGCATTCGCAGGCCATCATGCAGAGCAGTTTTTTCTTGGCAACATAATAGGCCAAAAACGAGCTTATACGCATAGAGCACCAGATATAACATATTTATTCTAATAGTTATATTCTCAGAGCCACCCCCAATAGCAAAATATTTGGAAGAATAAAACAAAGAGTCAAAAAATATGCTTGAATGATACTGATTATTAGAGAATATCAAAATGGCATCTCCTCTTTAGAATTATTTTTCTGGTCCAAAAAACCAGTTATGATGAACAACACATTTCACAGTTGGGAAAGGTTGGTGAAAATGAGTATTTAACAAAACAACGCTTGGGTTTTTTTTCATCTTACCATAATTCTAAATATTTGAGACACATTTCTTCTAGATCAACTGAGGAAGTCTCCACACTATCTTTCTGCATCACAAGCAGGATCAACATTAAAAAGTTGAGGCAAAAGCTAGACTTCTCTATAACTTAATATTGAAAACGAAGTATAATCACTAACTAAGTAGGCACCACACACAGAAAGGATGGTATGCGATTAACCTATTGGTGACCACATACAAAAAGTTGACAAGGGAGCAATGATATCAAATAATCAAATAATTAAATAATTTGACCAAAAACCATACTTCTTTCAGATAAAAGGAAATCACACAACAAGGACAGAGGAGACTGCTAATGGTTAGGTAATAACATGAAAAATTCCGAACAACGTTCTGTAAGTAAATTCTTACAGCAATCATGTTATCTATGTAAGATGCTTCCATTGCTAATTTGTTATATTTGAAAACAAGTATTTCGACAAAACATCACAAGGTAGAACACCCTTCTTGCCAAAAACACCCAGATAATTATTATATAAGATTATAAGAAGATGGAAGGACGTTTCCATTTTATAAACAGAAAGCAAGCACGTATTAGGACTATTCTGCAGTACATCATCGATGCAGGAAAGAGACATTGGAAAAAGAGGGGGAACTAGTGAATAACTACTGCCAGAGTAAGACATTCTCAGCAATAGACTAACACTTCAAACCTCATTGTTTGATGCAACGAAACCTTTAATTGATGCCGAGTGTCAGTGTTATTTATCCGAACTGAAGCAAAAACCCACAGAACAAATCCTTTGAGAGTATTCACAGTTATTTCACGTCGTAGAGCCAAAAATGAGCAATTCTAATCAAATGAAGAAAGGGAATATGGCCAAAAAAACTATTTTTTTTCCCAAATATCATATAGCATCAGTGTTAGTCCACTTTGTTCAAACAACTGTGATTAATTACTTTCTCTGAGTACATGATTCAACATCTTTAGCTAGCTATTCCGACATGTATAACTAGGAAGAGTATATCTCTTTCACTTCGCACACCCGTGGCAAGCAGATGAAAAGAAGAAAAACCCACCTCGATTTTTGCCTCAGAACGAAATTTCTTCAGGGTCTTGGAGAATCCACAGCGTTGAAAATAATGGGCCACAGAGATGTGAAGAAGAAGCTTCTCTTCCTGGTTCAGTTGAAAAGTTCCATTGGAAGAGGCGTTGTTATCACTGGAGTGCTTCATTCCTAGCAAAACTTGGCGAGGCGTAAAGGCAACAGATATTGAGTTTGCTCTGTTATCTGTTTGGGTTACAGGCATGTGAAGAGCTTCTTGGGTGGGTGAGCTTCTTAGAAGATTCACAAAGTCCAAACCAGTCGCAAGGAGCGAACTTCAGGCCCCCAGGGGTTTAGCCGGGTAGGGAGAGGGAATTAGGGTTTTCACAATGACGTTGCAGCAGAGCCTGAGATCAGACGTCCTAGCAATAATAATTATTAAGTATTTCGTTTGGTTCTAATTTTATTTGTAAATTATTTTTACTAAACTTATTAATATTAATATAATAAAAATATAAAAAATAAAATTTAATAAAATTATAAATATAATTTTTAAAAAATAAATTATATAATACTCCTTTATTTAAAATTATAACATATTTTTTAAAAAAATTATCTTAAAATATAAAACATTTTAAATGAATTAAGATTTTATAAAATATATAAATTTTAATATTATTTTTTTATAATTAATTTTCGTCCATTCTCTTTTCAATATATTAAATAATGAATAATTTTAAAAGTTTATATTTTTATTTTAAAAAAATTAAATTATTATGTGTATTTAACTATATTTATTAATATGTGAGATTTTATCTAAAAATATTTTATAATTTGAGATAAAGGAAGTATTATTTTTCTATTTCTCTCTTTCTTACTTTTTAAAAGTAATTTAGACATTTCATTTAAAACAAAACATCATTATTAATTTAATAATTTATAAAATAAATCACTTCACTCTTTTAAAAGTCATCAATAAGGTGGACCAGAGGGAGTATTAATCATATTATAACTTTACTACTAGGTGTAGAATTGTACTGGGAAGCTATTTTAATTAAAAAGATTATATTTTTATCATCTAGCTATGTAATATTAATTTTATCAAAATCACAAAGCTAACGTCTCAAATATAACAATGTTTGTTTTGTTATAGTGTTTTGGTAACTTCAATACTATAAGATACTCTTCGAGTTATCAAATGCTTTTTCCCCCATTGAAATGCCTTTAATTTAATAAAATACGAGAGTGAAATTTAGGATTCTCAAAACAAAATATTAACCATTAATTAATGGAAAATTAAGAAAATGTTTTGTTACAAATTTAATCAATCACTATCACTATATTTATAAAAGTAGAGTTAAAAGTTATGAGAGAATGCCACGTGTTAATTTTTAAGTTTGCTACAATTTTATATTTTAAGATGTCTTTTCTATGATTTTATGCTTTGGAATTAAGTTTGGGGTTAGGTTCAAAATTTTTTATTATTTTTTAATGTATATAAAATATATTATTTAGATTTGGAGTAGGGTGTGAGGTGAATTATTAATTTTTAAATGTATATAAAAATTATTTTTTTACCTATTTGAAATTTAAATTTGATCATATTTGAATTTAAATTAATATATATCTATTTAAAGTTTTCATCCACCATAAGGATATGTAAAAATCTAGATTTATATGATTGAATGTATACACACATATAAATATTTTGAAAAATTTTAAATTTAGGTTCTTTTATATATATAGTAAAGAATTCTCATTATTTCTGAAAATTTCAATGTATCCAAAAGATGTTTTGAAAATTAAGCTTCATAAATGGATTGGTTAGAGAAAAAAAAGATTTTACATTTAAAAAGGATTATTATTTTTTATATTTATTTAAATTCCAAAATTATATAGTTAATTATGCAAAGTTTACCGTTTATATATCAATCATATCATAAATTCGAATAAGAAGTTATTGATCTATGCGTGTGATATTTGAAAATTTTGATCATATTATAAAGTAATATATCTATATATTCGAAATTCAAAACCTTTAGTTAAGGAAAAAATAGATATTTTTAAATATAAAATAATATATATGTAAAATAAATGAGTGATTACTGGTAGTATATATTTTATTTTCCTTAACTACATTTATCTATTCAAAATTCAAGTCAAATCATATGAAAAGGAGTAATCAAATTATTTTCTATATTCATACAATAATAAAATTTTGTTTATATTTTGATAGGTCCAGTTTGAAAAATAAAATTATAATATATATACATATAGAATAAATGAGAGGTTACTTATATATTATATTTTCTTTTATTTGAAATTCAAAATAATATTTTTCATATTGAGATTATAAATTGATTACTCAATTTTCAATTTCAATTTTAATATATATATATATATATATATATTAATGATCCCCCTTGCTTCAGCTGTCAATGATTCCCCTTGATTAATGATCCCCCTTGCTTCAGCTGTCAATGATTCCCCTTGATTAATCAATTATTTTGTTTGGATTTTAATGATCCCTGTTGATTGAAATTTTAAAATTTAAAATTCCCTTTAACACCAGTCTAGGTACTAATTATAAATAAAATGGATTGGATACATATTCATTCATCAATTTTAATTTTGGTTCTTATATTTCATCCATTTTTGAGACCATTGTATATTTAGATGTCTCATCATTCTTTTTTGTCTCTTAATTAATTTATACGAGCATTAATTATTTTCTATTTTGTTAGCTTGAGTTGTTTGTTTTGATAGTGTTATTTGTGCTATCAATCCTAATATGATTAGTATCTCATGGTTTAAGTGATTCATCTTTAAAATATGTCTGAATGAATCTCATGAGATAATTCAACATGTTTTAAATTAGTTTTAGAAGATACTGATGTAAGTTTTTATGTCTATTCTCTTCTTTAAAGTTAAATCAAATTTTACCTATTTATTTTTATCTTATAGTTATACATCTTCTATATAGGCAATCAAATTTTTATAGATGAAGACTTATTATTAAAAATACATTTATTTCTCCTTTTTCACAATAGCCAACAAATAACCACAAAAAACTCCTTCCATTTCTTCTCATTTTTCCTAGCGTTATTCTTCAAATTTCACTCATATCAAGCTTTCAAAGGAGATCAAAAAATTAATTAATTTTAACTGTAGAATGATACTAAACTGTACCTTTTTACTGTGGAAGGATACCACAACTTATTTTACATAATTATGAAATATTGTGATTTGAATTGCAAATATTTAAATTTGGATGAAGTTTTAATAAGATCTAATAAGTATAATTATTTATACTAAATATAATCAAATTTCAATATTTATTCATGCTACTTTCAATTTAAAATTGGTAGCTTATTAATTCCAAAACCACATAATCAAAACAAAATAAAATACTTAGAATAATTTTTTAATCAATCATATAATCTCCAACTCAATTTAAAAATGATCAAAAGTTAAATTTTGATTTTTAGTATCTTTTAATATATCCCAATAAACCTTGAATGTTTCAAATTAAAAATAAAATTATTTAAACATAAAATATAAATAACATCATTTAATTGAATAATATAAAAAAAATTTAAAATTTAAATATCGAGACGAAATTCATAATGTTGTAATCAATTCAAATACCAACCCAAATTTATTTTATATCATTAATCTACAATATAAAAATTATATTTTTAATAATTAAGAAATAACATATTAGTTCAAATGTTCACTCAAAAGTAACAACATTTAAAAAAGATGTGAGATTAGACAATTTTAATCTAATGTCATATATCTAATATCTATATAATGTATAGTTGTATACTATATTGCATAGAAGTAAAAAAGCATATATTTTTTATATATCAATTTGATTTTATACTTTATGCTCTTTAGATTTCACTTATATAATTTTTCAATAGTCTTCAATTTTTATTTTTTCTTTTTAGCTCAACACATGTTAGCTTAATATTTTTAATAAAAATTTGTGAGCCTTGTCTAATTATTCGCAAATTTTTCATCTAACATGTATAGATTGAAATACTTCTTTTGTTTTAAATTATAAGATAATTTCAAATAAAATTACATATATCAATAAAACACAGTAATGACACTTTATAAACTTATTTTTTAAAAAATAAAATTATAAACTTTTAAAAATACCTGCACGCTTAATTATTGTCCTACAATATTATTTTAATTCTTTCTCTACCTAAAAGATAATATTAGAAAAATATAATTAATGAAACTTTAGTTTTCTCAAATTATCTTATATTTTGAAACAAAAAATTCCTCAATCTTTATTTTATAATTTGGAATGGATGAAGCATATAATTTATTTAAAAAAAGTAGCATGAAATTCAGTCGATAAAAAAAAAAAGTGATGTGATTTTCCATCTATCACTAATTATATTTTCTATTTTGAAAAAAATACATTTCTTTATTTACTATATAAAATTTGATAAATAACTTAGTAAGTTATTTATGATATTAATGGTATGGATTGTTATATTTTTTTATTACATATATTTTATGTATTTTTTGGTTATAGGTATCCTTTTATTGAAGGCTATCCTATTTGATGCACGATTAATCCATCATATTTGAATACTTATTCATTTTATGCTATCAAGTTATTTTATATAATTATAGAATATTGTTATTTGAATTTCAACTATTTAAATTTGGATGGAGTTCTATAAGTTTCAATATTTCATAATTAAAGAGAATGATATTGATCATTGTGAAAAGAATAATGGAAGAGTTGAGAGAAAATGATAGAGATGAAATGAGATAGGAGTTTAAAATTTTAAATTTACATGAAAATACTATAAATCAATATTGAGTTTTTTGTTCACCCACGATCAATATTGAGTTTGTGCACACGTGAATTCTAATAAAAAATTGGTTTGAATATTTTCTATTGGGATAGAAAATCTTGATTAATTTGTTATTTCATAAATATTAATTCAAATGAGATAAAAAGTAATATAAAAATTTGATAAAAAATAATTTGACCGTTTAAATATCTGAAGTATGTAATTAATTAGTGATTGGTGATTTTGAACTTTTATTCCAATGCCCAAAGAATAAAACAAGCAAAAAGTAGTTATGTTACTATTTAAGAAAAAAAGTCTTTGGGCTTAAATTTCAAGCATATTTGATAATTAAATTAGATTGACAATTTAAATAAAAAAACATCCTCCAACATATATAATATACAATTATAAATAAATTAAATTGATTTTGGCTATGATTTCATTCTACGATTCTAACTTTAATTAAGTTTATCATTCATAAGTTTATTCAACAAATACATATATCCAAATTATCTTTCAATCCCATTATGTATTTATATCGCTAATTTTATTTAATCTTTCATTTGTCCATAGC